GTATTCGTGGTTTCGACGACATCTCCACCATATTATTATTTGATGATTAATGAAGTCCAACCATAACAACAACACATCGTCGTCATCATCAAGCTGAACTTTTCCATACGTCATTGGGTTTGAGGAGATCAGGTGTCGATAACTTAAACATGGAACATAAGCTCCAAGTTTTCTCTCAATTTTTTGCTTCATTTGGCGATGAGAAACATCTACAGGGAACATCATATTGACCATTCTGTCTGACTTAAACACAACACCAACATCAGTTTGTAGAATTTCGCCATTATAATGGACAACTGTGAAGAATTTGTTGCCCATTGTTTGGAATGTTTTGGTTAGATAAAAGGAGTTAATTGTGTAAGAGATTGAAGATGAAAGGAGTGTGTTATGTAAGAGATTGAAGATGATGTGCACAACTTAAAGAGAATACATATTTTTCCCCATTGGAACTCGTCACACCGGCGTGACGAGTTCCATTGAAAGTTTAAAAAAAATTCGACCGTTGAACAACGGTAAAAAAAGTCAAAATTATACCAGTTGGAACTCGTCACACCGACGTGACGAGTTCTATGAGCATTAAAATATTGTTTTTTAATTTTCTTTTAATAATTTTAGAAAAAATATTTTTTATTAGCGTGACGAGTCCCTCAAGATATATTAAATTTATTCCAGTTGTGGGCCCACTTGACATGGCCTATTAAAAAATTATATCCCATGGAACTCGTCACGCCGGCGTGACGAGTTCCATGGGGACTGTTGCAATTGTCGTAGATCCCAAATTAAAAGTTTGGGTGTTCTATTGGGCCAAATAATCCACCCGAGTAGATTATTTGCCCAATTTGGCCTATATCAACTAATGTTTCATAAATATAAAATAAAAATATGATAAATAAATTACTTTTTAAAATCATGACAAAAAAATTAAAAATTTGAAAATGGACTCAAAGCTTTAATTATTCAAGTACCCTTTACTTCGTCCTCTTTTCCTTTTTTTTAATTAATATATACTTTTTTTATTTTCTATTCTTAGCGGTTCTGTTGCCATGTCCCCCTACGACTTATGCTATTTTTATTAGTATTTTATTTTATTTTAGGGTAAAATACACAAATAGTACTGATTATTGGATATTAATTTATTAAGTAATCCGACTATTAAAAATTATAAAATAATCTTTTGATTATAAAATGTTGTTTTGTTAAGTCTTTTAACTATTAAAAGTTATAAATAGTCATTGACTATCTATTATGTTCCAAGCTCACCTTTTTATATTAAAAAAATTAACAATTGTCTAAGCTAGACGTTAACAAGATGACTGAGATATGATAGTCATTTGAGGTTATGAGATCATATTTTATTATATCACAATCAATATGTTAACGTTCAGCTCATAATACCATCATTTTTTTAATGAAACAAAATGAATAGTTAAATTGTCATTTTATAACTTTTAATAATCGAGGGGTGCAATAAAATAACATTTTATAGTCAAAGACTATTTGTAACTTTTAATAGTCAAAACTCCTAATAAAATAATATTATATAGTTGGTGGACCATTTGTGTACTTTACCCTTTATATTAGGCTTAATGCCAAAATAAATACCCAAACTATGTATTTTTTGCCAAATAGGTGCCTACATTCTTTTTGGCCCATCTGGGTGCCTAACGTTTCAAACGTTAACACTTTAGGTGTCTGGACCGTCAATGTCGTTAGTTTTTCCTTTAAGTGACACGTGTCACAACCTGAAAATTTTAAGAATTTATATAAAAGTAAAAAATAAAATTATATATTTTAAAAAAGAACACACATAAATTTTGAAATAATCCCTAAACTTTGAAAACCTTCATTTCAACCACTAAACCCACGCCAACCGTTGCCCTTTACTGTCAAAGAAACTCCACCCGACCTCCCCTCCCCCCGGTGACCAAAACCTCTATGAAGTCGTTACCGGTTTACGATAGATCAATGATAAATCGCGTTTTTAATCCCACATACCTTATTATGAAAGTCATGATATCATGCGATTCCGATGGTTAATCCGCTACAACTACAGTTACATGTAACTAGGATGATGAAAATGATTATATCGGCGGCGGTGGTCGTGGCCGGAGAGGACGACGATGGCTTATTGAGGTTAGAATTTGAGATTTTCGAGTTGTTTTGTAATATAAGAAAAGTTACATTTTTTTTATAAATATAATTATAAATACTCAGTTTTGTCTGAGATCTACTAGTGTTTTTTTTATCTTATTCTATTTTTATTTGATTACTTTCTTTAATTTAGTTCGAAAATAGTACGGTCAGATAATTAATTAGTATTATATATATATAGTAATATGATATAATATGTATGGAATATATATATATATATATATATATATACTATTGTATTATATATGTTTTGTTATAGGCGTATATATATGTGTGTGTGTGTTACGCATGTATTATGTGAGGTGCATATATATATATATATATATATATATATTAACAATTATCTAACTTTTATTCTATGTTTCTAGGTCCAATAAAAATCCACACTTCGCAGTTCAAAGTAAATCAAATTCAAAGATGATCCAAATAGCGGAGGCCCAAAGAGAAGAACAACCCACATGCTGAGCTTTGGGTGAAACCCTAGCCGCCGCTTCATCTTTGCCTTTAGATCTAGGTGACGATCAAACGGCCCCAATTGCTTCAGAACACTCTAGATGCTTTGGATGGTCAGATTTGGAGCGTGTGATGCACGCACGGTGCCCATGACTTGCCCAACTGTTCAACTACTTAGACGCCGGCACGTATGACGCACGCAAGGCTACTCAAGCAACTCCTCGCCTCGTATACTTCATTGTTCTTTTTTTCCCCTCTTCCATGCAAGGCTTAGCACTGTGAAAAAAGAAAGAAAGAAAGGAGCAACAGAGATCAGCATTTTTTAAGACGGTTTTTTTCAGATCTCTTAAAAGATATCTGACTTCCTTTGGTTATATAAAAAACCAGGGGGATGAAGGTTTTTTTTTTTAACTTTTTTTAGAGAAATATCGTAAGAGAGAAAGAAAAGAAAACGTGTTTAGAGAAATATTTTAAGGATTGAAAACATCACACCTAAAATTTGGAAACCAGAAAAACCATAAAAATTTGATCACAAATAAAATTTGGAAACAAGGGAAAAGATATTGTCTATTTAAATTCATAGAGAAAAAATCGTTAGAACTTATAAAAGGTCTAATCCCGACGTCTTTAAATAATCGAACATCATTCTTCTTTTTAAAATAATTGATATTTTTTAATTTAATTTGTTTTATTTTATTCTTGTTCATGCATGCATTCAAATTAATAATGAACTTTAGAATAAAATAATAATATTTTTTTATTTCGATTGGAGAAAGAATCGACTGCTTTAATGCATGAGAGGTCTTTTCTTCTTGATAGGAAATAATTAAATATTATTGTTTTTCGTCCTAAAATTCAAAGGTGTTATTTAAAGGGATCCTAAATTAAATTAAATTCAAACTTATAAATTTCATTGCAAAGACAACTAATTAATCGACTAGGTACCGATTTAGGACGTTGTGGGGGTGCCAACTCTTCCCCATGCGTAATCGATTCACGAACTCATTTTTTTTGAAACGTAGACCTAAAAATATCGTTTTGATAAAATTAAAATTATTAAAATGAAAACCATTTTGGGTGCCCAATCACACCATAATCGAAGATTGATGGCGACTCCTCAAATCGTTTTGTTGATTTTAAAAGGAAATACCAAATTAATAGAGATAATATTTTTTTTAAATCACACTTAATTAAAAATTAAATTTGTTTTTCAAGAAATAGTTTTCACAATAATAATATTTTTAAAAAAAATAAATCAAAATTATGGGGTTGTGAAACATGTCACTTAACGGGGAGAACTAATGATGTTGACGGCCCGGACACTTAAAATACTAATGTTTGTAACATTAAAAACCTAGATGTACAAAAATCAAATGTAGACACTTATTTGGCAAAAAAACCATAATTTAGGTACTTTTTGGGCATTAAGCCTTCATATTTATTAGCAATTTTCATGATTCTCGTCTCCGTCTAGGGATGGCAAACGGATACAGTTTCGTGGATTTCGCACCACATCTGCTCTAATTGGAGTGGGGATGCGTATAATTTTAGCGGGTAGTGGGCGGGTGTAGATTTATAAAGTGGTACCCGTCGTGGGTGATGGGCGGGTAATGGGTTTGAGACATTACCCGCCCCACATCCGCCCACCCAGCTAAATATCTATTAAATTTTGGACCATTATGAATTTAGGTGTAATTTTAGAGATTAATTTATAAATTTTAATATTGTATAATATATAACATATAATTTATCCAAATATTAAGGATATTTAGTCTTTAATCTGATCCTTAATTAGGAAAATATTCGGCTCTTTGATTAAACCCATAATCTTACTAACCAAGTCATTTTCCATGTTATTTAGCCCATGCTGCTCATCCAAACACAAATTAGTCGTACTATAAGCATTAACGTCAAAAGCATCAGTTTCCATGTTATTTAACCCCTCAAAACCCATATTAGGCGCATTATGAGCATTAACATCGAAAGCAACACAACAATCTAGCTCTACGACTACATGCTCCCTACAATCTGTCTCCATAACATTCGTAGAGCTACTCTTCTGATAAATTGAAGCATGCAATGCTACCTCATCACGAACTGTCTGGGAATCAACTCTAACATCCCATTAGTTTGCTGTCAGGCGGGTCTAGATGGATATGTCGCTAGTGGGTAGTGGGTGTGGGGATGGATTTAAAAATATACCCGCATGGATGGGTGTAGATTTAAAAATTTATACCTATCATGAGTGGAGGACGGGTGATGGATTAAAAAATATTATGTAGGTATAGAGATAGGTATATGCACCAGCCGCCCGTTTGCCATCCCTATCCCCGTCCCTCTTTCTCTTCTATAAATCGCACGCTACTTTTCCTTAACCATCTTTCTTTGTTTTCTCGCCTAATTTTTCTGTTCCATTTCTTTCTCTCTTTTTTCCCCCTCTGAGTTTTTCAATTTTTTATATCGTTCCTTGTTCATGCTTACTACCTACTCCGAGAGTTCTTCAAAGCTGCTGTACAGTTAAATCAAAGGTATTATTATGCTCTCTCTTTCTCTCCATCAGCTCTTGGCCTCTGTTTTGTTTAGTTCTGTTTTCCTCCATTTCTCATCTTCCAAACAACTCCTATTCAAGATTTCCTTTGTTTCTTCCTCGATATGAATCGCTCCCTTATGAAAACATGATTTTATAATGTTAGGCTGATTTTTCTCTCTACAAATAACTTCTCTACGCTCCGTTATTTTTTTGAGTCCAAATTGCAGTTAGATCTATTTATTTTAGTTTATTTTTATACTTTTTGTTGTTGTAGATCTAGAGATCTATAACTGATTTACAGTAATTGTGGAAATTTAATGTTAGAGAGAAAACCGTAACAAATCTACTGTTAAATTTTTTTTTGTCTCTATTGAAGGTGATTTTGATTAAGCTTATGTTTATGTTAAATAGGGATATCGATTGTTAATAGCTAAAAAAGTACCAAAAAAACGATGCAGCAGTGTGCGATCCAACAAAGCGCAACTGGAAGCAGCCGTGAGGATTTGCAGAGTTCCTTTCCGGTTCCCGTTATGGTTACGGATCGGAGAGAGACAATGGTCTGCCCGAAACCACGTCGTTTGGGTCTTTTAAACACTTCTTTCAACGACCACCCAATTAGGTCCCTCAGATGGCAAATTAGGTAATTTCCTCATACTTGTATGACCTTCAAATTTTAAACTCTTCTTTTTTTTCCTCCTATTTTTAATTAAAGAAATTGAAGCGGAACAATTCTTTTTTTTTTTCAGCCATCAAACAGAGCTTTGTGATTCCAAAGCAGGGAGTGGTATTCTGGATATGATTCTTACAAAGGTACGCTTCTTGCTTCTAGTTTATTTATTTATTATTAGTTAATAGTTAAATTTAGACGTATTTAGTTGTTTATTTTCAATGGACTTATTTCAAGAAAACAATAAACTATTCATAAATTATAAAATAAATAATATCAACTCTGTAACGATGGCGGTGCAGATCTTTTGTTTGTGGGGAACCATTTAAAATAAAACCGTTAGTTTCATGTGCCGACTACAGAATTTCTAGATCCAAATATTGTGCATGGTTGCTTTCATATATCTTCTGATTGATTCTGGAATTTAACAGGGTGGTTGTAGAGTGGAAGAGGTAGAGTCACCGCCTCCATTTTTTTGTGGATCGCCTCCGAGTAGAGTAGCTAACCCATTAATACAAGACGCTCGATTTGGGGATGAGGTCATCGCCCCACCGTCACCTACGTCCGGCTTTCCCTCGTCGTCTCCGCCATCATCTTCAAGGAAAGGAGGCTGCGTTCGAGCAAATTTCGGTAACAAACCGGCCGTGAGAGTCGAGGGGTTCGATTGCCTCAACAAGGATCGGCGAAATTGCAGCATCCCAGCGCTGGCTTAGAAGAAACCATCTCAAACAACTAGGGGTACATAGAACGAATAGAGAATTTTGAAGGTACTTTTGAGTGACTAAAAAGATGAGGAAAGAAACCGTAAAGGCAAAGGACCATGTAAACATGTGGTTAAAGAAAAGGGGTTTTTGGCATCTGATCAAAACGATGACGTATTGTAAGTATATTAGTTTCTTCAAAAGAAAAGAAATTTGTACAAAAAGGAAAGCAAGTTGGTAATCGAGTCATTCGTGTTAAATGGTCGATTGTGTATACAAAAAATAATTTTGTCGTTTGATTTCTCATCCGCCTTTTGTCTGTTAGTTTTGGGTGGAATCCCAGAAAGCATACATATGAAAAATGATCCTTATTATTTAAATAATATATTTGATAAAAAATTATTAAAAATATTATTTTTTATCGATTTTTTATTTTTTTTATTAATTTTGCTATTAATAAACGTTTTATCAAAAATATTAAAAAAATATTAATATTTTAAAAATAAATAATAATATTGTAAATAATATTTTATTAATTTTATAATTTAAATAATAATAAAATCGATAATATTTTTTTTACTGTATATTAAAGTTGTACTGTATAACTTCCTTACCCCCATTATATTTCTGTTTGCTTAAGAACCACGCCAAAATCCCTGATGTTGAAGTGGTTATTGTCAGTATTCTCTGGGAATTGGGACCAAACCACTTAACTAGTGTATGCTTTGTCAACGTGAATAAAGGTGGATTTTTCAAGTGAATGTCAAAGCTCTTATGATTGTTATTCCAAATCCCATAATCAATACTTCTCTGCAGTCCACTCACATTAAATTTGTTCAAATATTAAAACAGTTTCATCTTACTAGCAGTCCATGTGATTTTTTTTAATTTAACTGATTTCTTACTATATTGATTAATTATATATTTAAAATGCATAGAAAACAAATATATTAAGTCAATTGGTTGCATTATAACCTAACAATGCTTTTTCCCCAATCGGAGCACATTGTATTGGTTTGTATTCAATCTTCTAAACACTTACAATCAAATTACCTCAGTTATAAAGAGATAGTTGTTATCGTATTGAGTTTGACCGGTTCTATTTAAGAAGTAATAAACATAGAGAACAGACGGGATTATTTCCTAAAAATTTAAAATTATTATATATTTTATTAAAAAATTATTTTTATTTCTCTAAAATTTTATTAATTCAATTTTTTCCCTTCAAATTTTATAAATTTAAATTTATATCAACTTAAATCCTACATCTATTCCCGAGTTCAGGACTGAACTGTAGTTTTTGTCTGTCAGTAGAGTAAATCTTCGAACACTGTAAACAAAAGAGGACTCTGGCATGGCACGTGATGTCTACGAGACCAACTCACCCACAGAAGCTGCCGCTCTACTCCGGTTTCAAAAATGCACTCTTCTCGGTTTATCTCTCTCAACTCTCACCTATCAATGCATCATCTGATATTTCATTTCACCACCAGCAAAAATGAAGTGACAGTGTACTTGAAAATTTTAAATTTTTATAAATATTTCAAATATTTTTTTTAGTTTTTAATATTTTATAAATTTATTCTTTTAAAATATTTATTTTTATTTCTCAAGTCAGATTAAACGTTCTGTTTCGTTTCGAAAATATCCTGGCTTGAATTTTTTAAAGAAATTTGACGATTTAACACGCCAAATTATAAGCGTTTATTTGTGCAGATTAATTGTTTTACAGGTCGAACTTTGGGACGTGTTTGAAAAACTTTGATTCGCCTGGAGTCTAGGTTATGAACGTTTATATGTGTAGAATGATAGTATTGACACCTACAGAATTCTTACCAATCACGAGTCCTTATGCTTTGGTTAGAACCATCTCTCTCTTTCTAGCTAAAGCTTGGTTTATTGATCTTACATTCATTCATTGATAAGCGGATATGTCAGTTCATTTTATGGCGAAACTTAATACTCACTCGGATGGTTCTTCTTACGATGTTTTTTTTTTAATGGTAAAGGAGGCCGTAGCCATTACATCAACGTGTTAACCGCACATAAGGGGGACCAGAAACATCTCTATGTAGAAGGACTTCGAGGGGAGCCGAGGGTTGTACAAAAGTAATCCGGGAGCCATATGGAGAAGTACCCATCTTCGCAATGTAGTGGGCAGCAGCATTCGCCTCCCTATTAATCTTTTGAAATTCAACTTGAAATTCAACGTACCAAGCGCGATTGTAGAGGCTGACGATGGCACAAACGAGAGTGAAAGGGCTCGTCGAGGCAGGAGGGGAGAGGAGATGATAAACATCCATGCTATCGGTTTGCACAACGAGACGATCACAACCATAATGCCAGGCGGCTTGAAGTCCGTCAAGGATGGCCCAAAGCTCCGTCTCAAGAATCAAAGAGATGCCAATATCCCGACAAAAAGCTAAGAGACAATCACCAGAACTGTTACGAAGAAGACCGTCAATGGAACCTCGACCGGTGGACGTGGGATAGACATCATCCGTATTAAGACAAATCTAACACTCAGTAGGTGGAGACCATTGAATTTGTGAAATCGAACTTTGGTCTGCAGTCCCAGCGACGGAGAAAGTGCCAGAGTAAATTAAAGACCAGGTAAGACAGGAATAAAGGAGTGGAGAAGTCATCCAAAGTTCCTTGAAATATGGAAGTGTTCCGCGTTTCCATAGAAGCCAAATTAAACAAGCAAAATATATATTCCAAGTCCCATTTATCTCATGAACAAAGTAACGACTATGCAAGTTTTGAAGGAACCAAGTCCTTAAGGGGAGATCGAAAAAATAGGAATGTCGAACCTCAAAACCAAACTACTCCAGAAGTCGTGAATTCTCGGGCAGTCATGGAGGATGTGCAAGAGAGTTTTCGGCTGACAGCGACAAATAGGACACGATGGATCAGCAGCGAGCTAGCGAGAGCAGCATACATAATTGGTAAAGAGTTTATCTTGAATGGCGAGCCATAAAAAACCACGGATTCGCTATGGAATTGGCTGTTTCCAGACGGTCGATCAAACACTGCTCTTATCACCCCAATTACTGCAGTCTATAGTTTTGTAAGCAGACTTAGGATGTCTTCGATGAGGCCAGCATTGTGCAAGTCAGCTATAGCATAAAGAATGAGATCGTCAGCGAAAAACATGTGGGATATCGGGGTGCCATTCCTCACAAGTTTGAAAGCTAACCATTGATTAGAGTCAACGAGGAATGAGATATAATGGCTTAAACGCTCCATGGTCAGATTGAATAAATAAGGCGAAAGAGGATCACGTTGATGAATTCCTTTCCTTGGTCTGAAAGGACTGCTTAAGCCACCATTATATTGAATTTGGATTTTAGAAGAATAGTCACCCAACATTATAAGGCGAATTAAATCGCGAGGAGACCGGGCATCAAAAAGGGTGTCTTTGATAAAGTCCTATCAAAATCTATCAAAAGTTTTCTGTAGGTCAACCTTTACGGTCATCCAACCCGATTTACTTTTTTAAGATGCATGGAGTGAATAACCTCCTGATTTATAATTGTATTTTCAATGATACTCCGACCCTTAAGGAAGCTCGTCTGATGAGGTTCGATTAGACAGGGAAGGATGTTACTGAGCCGACGAACAATGACCTTGGAGATTAGCTTATATAAGACAGTACACAAGCTAATAGGATAAAAATCTGAGAAGGTCTAGGCTGCTGATCTTCGGAATAAAAATTAAAACTGTGCAGAGAATGAGGGGATCAATGTTGTTGTAAACAAAAGCATGTTCCAGAAGACTCCAAATAGAGTTCTTGACCACGTCCCAATTTTTTTTGAAAGAAATGGGCACGAAGGCCATCAATACTAGGGGCCTTGAGTGGAGCCAAGGAGAACAGGGCTTTCTTAATTTCCTTCTCTGAAGGAACGACTATAAGAGTAGGAGTTCGGAGATCAGTAATAATAGGGAAACCACCGGAGATGGGAAAGAAAATCAGGTTAGTGTTGGGTGATGCGAAAAGAGAGGAGAAGAAGCGAACGATTTCCTCTCTGAGCATAGTAGTATCGGAGCATCGATCCTGATCATTAATCCGTAAGCTGGCGATAAAATTTTGTCGCCGTCGAGAAGAAGCTTTAGCATAGAATAATTTTATGTTCCTGTCACCAAATTAAGCCCAATCAACCCTAGATTTCTGGATCCATAATTGTTCTTCTTGATCAAGAATGACTTCAAGCTCTTGAAGGAGTTTAGACTCCAAGTTGAGGAGATTGCGAGAGCGACGCAAACCCATACAATGTTGAACTCCTCTTAATCTTGCCATAAGAATTCTCTTATTCTTACCAATAACACCGAAAATGTTTTTATTCCAATCAGCAACCGCTTTGGAAAATTTGACAATTGCCTCAGAGATAGGCAATGATGAGTCCCAACAATCCTTCACAAGCCGATTAAAATCAATATGTGAGGCACAACTAGAGAGGTAGGGAAAGGGAGAGCTACACTAGTAGGAGAGGTCGAGGAGAGAGTCAGCAAGATAGGGCAATGGTCTGACTTCATACGAATCAGATGCTCCAACGAGGATAACAAAAAAACTTCAAACCATGTCACATTCCCCAGGCAGTGTTTTAGACGAACCGAGTAATATCCATTAAACCAAGTAAATCTCGGACCATGGTGACCAAGATCATGGAGGCCACAATCAAAAACCAAATCTTGGAAAGAGGCTTCTAGAGTGGAAGAAGAAGCATATCCAGAGCGGTCTTCAATAGATAAGGTAGCGTTAAAATCACCTACTAAAATCCACGGCTTAGTAACAAAATCAATAAGAGTTCTCATATAAAACCAACAATATTTTTGTTTAGATGCATTAGGGCTTGCATAGACAAAGATGGCCAGAAAAGAAGAACGACCATAACGCCTCTTATCTGTAACATGGCAGTGAAGAAACTGAAAGTGATAGGATGAGATATCAATGTGAATTGTATCATACCAACAAAGCCAAATACAATCGGCATAACCACCCGCTTCGATTCTGAATGAGTTGGGAAAATTCCAACCGTTAATCACGATCTCAGTATTAGCTCTGCTAATCCGAGTTTCGACCAGAACACAAATATCTGAATTATTGTCATGAAGGTATTGGCGCATGACACGGAGAAAATTCATGCTTTCATAACCCTGGGTGTTCCATAAAAATATAAATATAAAGGTAGTGACCATAGGCAAAGTTAGACGTCCATTTTTTCAGACTCATCGAAAACATTTTGGGAGACAATAGTCGGCACAGCGGGAGGACCTAAATGGGAAAGAGCGGCTATCTGCTGGTGAGGAGGGTCGGGAGGTTTCGAAGGTCTAGCAAGATCACCATGCAATGGAACAAGAAAGTGAGGTTCCATAACAGAGGGAAAAGTAGTGGCGGAAGCTAAAACTTTTGGAGTGTCATCTGGGGCTATCGAAACTGCATTGTGGGAGGAGGAGTCAAGTTGAGGAGGTTGTCCCTGTCTGCTATGAGATAAGGCGAGGGGGAAGGGACGACAGAGTTGAGGTTTCGAGTACCAATGATGGTGATCGAAGGTTTGCGGATCTGAATGGCGGCTTTGCCCTTGGCCTTGAGAATGTATGCATTACAATCATGGTTTTCTTTATTACATTCGGTGAGTTACGAGGTTTAGATGGAGGAGCACATGTATTTTGGTTGGCAATGGAAGGTGGGGTTGCAACTTGGGTAGCTGTATCTAGCTGGAGAATGGGAGCAACTGGATTAGGATCAGTTTCGACCTCCATTAAAGGGGCAAAACGGGAGGAGCTAGGAGCTACAGAAACTTTTTACGTGGTAGGCTGGTTTTCTTTACGTTGAACTTTACGCTACTTTTTCTCAAAAAGCATCCAATGACCATAGGGTTCTTGTGGAACAGGAGCGGGGGTTGGGGGCAGTGATGCATGTGCTGGTTATCAACTTGAGAAACTTCACTGGCTCTATTCGGGCAGAAGTCATTAAAATGCCCATATATTCCACAGTTGAAACAGACCAACGGGATCCCTTCGTGTTCAACAAATTGAATACGACCATTGATTTCGAGGTTGGAAATGATCAGCTTATTCAAGTTTAAAGTTACTGCCATCCGAGCAAAGTGCCCTCTTCTACCATTATTAGTTTGGTAGTGAATTTTTATTATGGAACCAAGTTTTTCGCTAATGGCCTGAATCAAACTCCTCTTGTACCAGGTAATGGGGATGCCGGGAAGCCTCACCCAAGCTATGATGCGGCTTGGATGAGATTGGGAGGGGTCAAAGTCAATAGAACAGGGTTCAACCGTAAGGTAGTGGCCGAAGATTACCCATGGTCCATCCGTTAAAGCAGATAAATAATCCAATCTCGCAGAAAATTTAACAAGAAAGTGATTGTTCTCCAATGTCGAGCAACTTGATAGGGTGGCTAGGTTTCCACATGGAGAGTAGCCGTTGTAGAGTGTGTTATAACCAATTCTTCGGCCAAGAATTTTGACGAGAATGGTTAGATCCATACTATTGATTGCAAGATTTTGAACCCTATCAGAAAAATTAATGAAAGGAATGCCATTAGACTCACCAACTTCGACATTATCATCAAATAAATCAATATCATCATCTTCCAACAAGAATAGTGCTTCAGCGTTAGCATCAGTATTGGATCTGATAACTTTATCTCGGAATGAGGAGTCAGTGCAATATGAGAAGTATTACAATCCATAGAGGATGTGAGAGGCGGAGTAGTATCGGGTAGAGCTTCATCGCGCCGGCGTTGGCGCTTGGAGGTTTTTTCATTGGCGGTGGCTTCAGGAGGGAGAATCATAGGTCTAGGGTTTTCTCTAAGTAGCTGAAAGATGGCATTCTTAATTTATTACATAAAGATATTTTTAATCCTCCAATAACATTTCTTAATTTATTACATAAAGATATTTTCGGAGCTCCTTATGTCCACCTAAAGGGATCTAATGTATTAACTATGGTCTATCTTTATTAATAAAAAGGCTTAATATCAAAATAAGTGCCCATGTTATACCCTAAAACTTAAATAGGTGCCTAAACTAATTTTCGTCCCATCCAGGTGCCTAACGTTACTACCATTATCCGTTTAGATGCCTAGGCTATCAACGACATTAATTTCTTCCATTAAGTGACATGTGTCACAATATGGTGATTTTGAAATTTATTTTTTAAAATAAAATATTAAAAAATTGTGATATTTATAAAAAAATAACTTTTCTTATATTATAAAACAACCCTAAAATCTCAAATCCTAACCTTAATCCACCGCCATCACTGCCTTTTAGAAATGACCACTGCCACCGACGTAGTCCCTGCCATCGTACGTCCTACTCATTCACCATCGTATTTTCCGTCGATTGGATATCGGAATCACGATTTTAATCTTAGGGTTCGAGCGGTCTAAAAAGTTGATTCGTCGTCAATAAGCCGTCGACCGCCCACGATTTCATAGGGGTTTTGGTCGTCGGGGGAGGGGAGGTCGGTGGAGTTTCGTCGACGGCAAAAGGTGACGGTCAGTGTGGGTTTAGGGGTTGAAATGAATGTTTTCAAAGTTTTGGGTTTATTTCAAAATTTGTATTTTCTTTTTTTTAAAATATATAATTTTATTTTTTTAATTTTAAATAAAATTTTAAAATTATCAAGTTGTGACACGTGTCATTTAACGGAGAAATTAACACCGTTATCAGCCCAGGCACCTAAACGCATAACGGTTGTAATGTTAGGCATCTAGATGAGACGAAAATTAGTTTAGACATCTATTTGAGTTTTAGGGTATAGTTTGGGCACTTATTTTGGTATTAAGCCAAAAAAACTAAGGGATTATAATTGAAGAAATTAAAATTTTAATAATATGAATAATATAACTTCTAAAGTTTAGGGGTATCTTCTGCTATTTTTCCAAAGAATGAGAGAAATTGACTATATTTTATTCAGATCAGACGTTCCATATTCCAATCAGATCAATGAAGTCTAATATTGCCACGAAACATAGGAAGTCAACCGCAGCGCCGTACCCCATGGACGACCTCCTTCCATTTCCCCCGTATTCTTCTTCGACACCAAGAAATCAAATTCCCCCTTTTTTATACCCTAAATTTTTTATGGATTTTTAAAACAGTGAATTTAAGATTACGTTTCCATCTGTTTCCTGGATTGAAGTTCACAATCTCTTAAAAATGGATAGTTAACGTTTCTTCATTGAGGTCTTTTAGGGTTCTTATTTTTCGAACTTTTAATTAGAGACGATTATAAGCACTGTTTATTCATTTTAGTGTATCCTTCTGAAGTAACAAAAGAGAGCCGATTAATCGATTTGTAACTCTTCCAGAGTTTCTTCACGGCAGAAGCACCGCGTGGCCGTGTCACTATCACTCTCGGACGTAGTGGCCAGGTATTTTGTTTTTGTTCATTTTTCCCCATTTCTTAGTAGTTACAGAGGTTAGTTTTTGTTTGGTTGCTGGTCAAATGTAGGAAACAAGCTTGAAATAAGCAGGAAATTTTCATATGAACGAGTTGCATTCAGTTCGACTTCGAACGATTTAGTTTAGCTTGGTCGGATTTCACTTATTTGTTTTTACAGAATTTAAGTCCCCCGCCCCCCTTTTTATAGAAAAGTTAGTGGTTCCTTTTTGTTTGTGTCTATTGGCTTGTTGTGAATCTGAACTTTATTGATTATGTTGCTCTAGGTTGTGAAGAGGTCGGGAGCTGCATCAGATGTTGATCTTTTTGATTCTCATCCTGTTGCTGGCTCTAAGCGTTCTGTAAGGGATAGGTTGGGAGGAAACGTAGATTGTTTCTTCGTTGAGTCAGCTAAACAGAAAAAGGTATACTTTTAAGAATTTTACTGCTGTTTTAGAAGCATTTCACAATCTTGCTTTTGAATGTCCATGTTTCTGCAATGGCTATTTAAGTAATCTTTTCTGTTTCCTAGTGGATGATGACCACAACAACGATTTTGCATGTGCATTACTCCTTGGTTATTAACTCCTTTATTTTAGGATTTTGTTTGATTTAATTAATAGTAATCTGTTGCTACAGGTTTTGATCTTGCGAGTGACTGTTATGTTGGACATATTATTTTTAACATCTTTCCTATAATTGGAGTTCAGGAATGCATAAGTTTCCATTTTTTAATGTTGGATATTTGTGTTTGGCAACAATACTTTATGAAAAATAGAGTTTTACTTGTAGCGGCATAGACCATGAGTGTTAATCCTTTGCCTTCTCTTCAGTGCTTACATTCTATGCAAGTAATTTTCTTATGTTGAGAAGTAATAGCAGAGTTTTGTCCTTTTTCAAGAGGATGATAGTTCCAATGATAGTTTTGGTACAAATTTGCCCTTCTGCGTTGCAAAATCTTTCTTTTTCTTTTTCTGAACTGATGTTAGATTACTAAAATTTCTTCATTTTGGGAAAAAAGATTTTCACATTCGTAAAGATGACCTCCGGTTAAACTCATGCAAAAAAATGTGTTTAGACGGGCTCAGAAGGACAATAACCAGAAGGGCATGGACCTTCGACAAAAGTTGTCAAGAATGGGACAGCCTCCACCTAACAGTTGAAGAACAAATTATCTTTTAGAAAATAAATATAATACTATCTTTTTAGGTATTAGACATACTCATGCTTGGTCGGATACCAAGAAGTTGTTGCTTCCTGTGGATGGTTGTTGGTCTGGTTACTTTTGGTTCTGAATAAGTAGCATAAGGCTGCTTTTAAGTTGTATGTTACTCGCCCAAGATAGTTTTATTAGAGTTTTGGAATTTGAAGTTGTAGGTGCTAATCTTCTCTATGAATTTTATTTTTTGCTTCTGGATATCAAATTTGGATCCTAAATGATTCCTGTCCTCTCTTGTCTCTGTATGAGCACATTTGCTTTCTCTGCTGACCCTTTTGCTGCTGTGATCATCAAGCGTATACTGTTACTTCCTTTACAGTTCATGCATAAGTTGCTAGTCATGTTGTGATCCCAAAAACCTCTTTCTGAAGTCATATGCATGCATTGATGTTTAAAGAACAGTGTTTAATTGAACTTTTTTACCTTTTCTTCTTTGGCTGGCTGCTTTATAGGTTGATGAACGACAAACTATTGAAGGCTTACTACATTCCCTGGGGCTAGGGAAGTATGCTATTTATTTCAAGGATGAGGAAGTAAGTAAGCTAGTTGTATGGTTAAGCTCAAAAGGTTCCCTTTTTTTAAGGAAAAAAAGGTGCTCATGAGAGGCAGTGTTATATCTCAATAGTAGTTTGTTGCTTTCTTTGTTTTCTTTGGTTATTCAAGTACTTCGGTAGTTTGTGCATTAGGAGTATTTGCTGGTTTTTTTTATTGAAATACAGCATCAATAGGGATTTTGGCTGCTCTTTATTTGTTTATTTATTTATTTGGGGGGGGGGGGTAACAATTCAAATGATATTGATAGGCCTTAAGATTAGTTATCAATTTGGATTTCTAAGGGCACCACATTGTTTTCACAGGACACATTTCTTGATAACCAAATAGGGGGATATGATGAAACAGTATATTATTGTAGCTTTCGATAATTGCCTTGTTGCTTGGACTTTGTGTTAGAAAGATGCAGGCATGAATCCGTCTCATTTGATTTTACTGATAAAATATTGAAATTTGCTCCGACTTGAGAAATGCTGTAGTTGTAAAATTTGGAATCCATCTTATAAAACAATGCTAAGCGTCTTCACGAAGCAATTGGTGGCTAATGTTTGGTAACGGACAGTACATAGCAGAAAATGGACGCTATTGCTAAGCTATTCTATCATGCAATTTTGAAGATTTACTCTGCTTTAAGTTATTGAACTATCATGGATGGATACTGTGACTTCGAATGGAGAATTGCTTGCTCGTTTTGTTTTATCCGTATCCTCCTTGCTTGGCTGATATGTAGTTTGGTATTTTACTCAGGTGGACATGCCTGCATTGAGACAGATGAGGGAAAACGACCTTAAAGAGCTGGGAATACCTATGGTATTTTACCCTTCTTTTGTCTATTTGATTGTTTATTATTTTTTTCCTGTTCTTTATGTTCATAATTCATGTGCTCGAGCCTAATAATCGATGAGCAAAATGTAATTTAAAGACATTAACCGCCGAAATCTATAAAACCAAGATGCGAAGTTGTCCCTAACGAATGAGGTTTGATTTGCGCTGCAGGGACCTAGGAAAAAGATTCTTCTTGCTCTCTTGCCTCGTTCCAAAAGGTAACAACAACCTTGATTATTATTCTCAGAATCCTAAGTATAACCAATGTATCTCTGCTTTGGGGGTTGGAAAGAAAATGGCCCATGAATCCAATCAGTTCGGGTGGCAAAGTTTCGAAACTCGAATACTGCCCATCATGATTAATAATACTAGAAGAAAGGATTCAAATCGGACATTATATGTTTTTAATTACAATTGTTATCGAAATTCAAATTAGTTGTCTTCTCCTTCACTATGTTGTTAGAAACTGTTGCATCTCAAATGTTCTGATTTGAAGAGCATGTGTTATCCCAAATATGTTTTGTTCCTATTGTACGAAATAATGGAAAATATTATTTCCCCTGAATCATATATTGAATCCGATTTGGTCTTTGGTTCCGAAGGATCGACCGACTGGACAGTTCCTATAAGATTTTATTCATGAACAAAATTTTATTTATTTCATCTATTTTATGTTTTATTGAATACGGAGAGAGATTTCAAAAGTTGTTTTACAAAGTCAAAAGCATAAATTCAAAAATCTAAACAAATTAGAACCCATCATGAAATAGGTAAAAGCTTGATCCCCTTGATAAAAATATATTGAAGCGTACAGGAGTTTAATGTAAGGTTAAGGAAAGGCGGTTAAGGAAAGGCACGATCGAAAATATTTTAAATAACATTACATTTTAGATTGCGTGTAATTGAAATTATTATGAAAAATATAACATTTTTTTGTTGCAATTTAAAATATTATGAATAAGGTTTGCATTTGATAAATATTAAGAAAAAATTATGTTTGTTTATAATATTTTTAGTCACGTTTTTTCTTAATCTTATATTAAGTTGTTTTTTCTTAATCTTATATTAAGTTGTTTTTTCTTAATCTTATATTAAGTTGATGTACAATAGAATTCTCTTAGAAACCACTTACAAAAAGTACCAAGAATCCACTTAGGGTGCGTTTGATTCATGGAATGTAAGATTACCGACGGAAATAAGATTACTGAGAATGTTGTATTTTGTGTTTGATTCGTTTAGTAAGAATTTAAGATTACAATGTTTGATTGAAGGAATAAAAGATTATTTGAATGTATATTTTACCAAATTGTCCTTATTATATATTTGTTTTTTAACAAGTTGAATTCTACTATAATTAATTTATATATATTTTTAAAAATTTTAAATTCATAAAATTTATATAATTTTTTTACAAAATTGAAAAGATAAATAGGTTTAATGAAAAAGTAAAATTTTATTTTAATCCTTGAACTTTATATAAAATTCTAATTATGGATTTGTTTTTGTAAATCTAAAATAGTTTAAGAATAAATTTGTAATTTAACCTTCGTAGAATTTTTTTTATTTAAAGACATAAGAAATATATTTTTGAAAAAAAAATTTAAGGGCATTTTAGTCCAAAACGCCATGAATGTAACAATACCTAAGGGAAAAGGATAACCACATTCCTGATAATATACCTCTAAAATACCACTATTGGGAATAACTTATTACCGGGGGCTAAGAATGTTTTCCAACCAAACGGGAGAATGACATTCCATTACCGGGACATTCCATTCTCCCGGTAATGTGAGATACCTTGAACCAAACGTCCACTCAAGGTACAACCTGTGACCAGCCGTCTAAGCAAAGTTCTAAAATACAAAACTTGCCATATGGAATGGATTTGGGAAATACGGGAAATGATCACGTTCGATATTCTTAATATACTGCAAAAAAAAAACGTTATCGATTTTATTATTATTTATTCGTAAAGCAATTTCTTTTACATTCACACTAGAAAATAGAAGGAAACCTACTACAACATTTAACTTTCTTATTTAATGGTCTCAATGCAAAAATAAAATTCAATAAAAAACACGTATTAATCTTTCAAAAATATTATTTTGCTAAGAGAAACTCAGTTGACACGTGCCAATGCAAGCAAATATTCGCTGTAGAGTCCAGTGCACAATGGCAACTGGCAGAGTGGCAGTGGCAGCGGCAGTGTTCAGATAACACACACAGCCACCCATCGGATTTGTTCTTCAAAAACATTTGAAACCATAACAGATAGAAAAAGTGTAAACTTTTCAAAATAAAATAACAAAAAAAGAGTTATTTATTCAGCATCCCCTCCTAGTTTTCGTCCTCTTTGTTTGTCTCTTTCTTCTCTCCAAAGCTCCAGCTTTCAGGTCCCATGGAGTCCCCTCTTTCTACCCTCTCTTCTCGATGTTTCCCTGTTTAAACCCCAGAAAGTTTCCTACTTTGTTTAGCTGGAAATACAAGGAAGTTAATTTTCATTCCGTTTTGGGAATTTAGTTGAAGGTTTTGGGTTTTCATTCTTTTTACTGGCAATACGTAAAGGAAGGGCAAAGTTTTAGTTTTTAAACTTTCTTTTTGTTTGGTGGGGTTCGTAGAAAATGCCGCCACATCGATCCAAGTCGGAAAAGAACGGCGGCATGACCGAGCATCTTCGTCGAGATCCTTATGAGGTGCTTGGGGTCTCCAAAAACTCAACGGATCAGGAAATTAAGAGCGCCTACCGAAAAATGGCTCTGAAGTATGTTCAATTTTCTTGCTTTTTTGAATTTTATTTTATTTAGTGGAAATGTTTTGAAATGTTCGAATTCTTGGTACTTTTTTTGTTCAAGTTTTTAATGATTACTTTAGATTAGAATACGTCAGGATACTGATTTGTTCTTAGTCATAATTATGGTTAATTATAAGCTAAACTCACGCATACTGGAGTATAGGTGGGAGAATAAGAATTTAGTACTTGTATTACGAAGGGAATTCCTACGATAACCAGAGATTTGTGAGTGATTGGCATTTGGTTTGACGATGGTTTGCCTTTCTATTTAGTGGAAATGTTTTGAAATGTTCGAATTCTTGGTACTTTTTTTGTTCAAGTTTTTAATGATTACTTTAGATGGTTTGCCTTTCTATTGATAGTTTCTAGGACACTCATTTTTCGACATAGAACTATAGCTGTGGACATGGAGGGATGCACGATCTTGTGATGGGGCGAATTTATAAAATTTTAGTGGACAGAAACAGATTATCAATAGAAAATGCAAAGAAAATATTTGAAATATATGGGGAATTTGAAATTTTTAGTGGACGACTGTCACCCCTCGGTCAATCAAGGACTGTGGAGGACTATGACAAGCTTCATATTTTTAATGTTGGTATTTTCCGGTTAGATAGCAAGTTTTGCTTAGGTCAGGTGGCCTATACATCCATGTGCGGCACAAGGATAGACGTTGAAAGCACAATAGAATTGGTTTTTAGTGACAGGTTCCATATCTCTAACACTGTGCAAACAACAGATAAAACTAACAGGAAAGTCCCCAAAGGATTATTTCCGACATGAGTCCAAAGAATGATTTGTTTCCCTGATGATACTCCTTTCGAGCTAGCTGCTATTATAAATGAAATATGTGGTTTGGGTTATGGGACATATATTGTACTGCATTGACTATTTTTCAGATAAGTGGTCATATGCCGTTCTGGTTGTACACTTAAAGTTGTGCTCTATCATGGTGGCTTAGCTATATAATTTATAAATGCTGTTCTGTTTCAGGCACCATCCTGATAAGAATGGAAATGATCCTGTTGCAGCTGATAAGTTCAAGGAGGTCACATTTTCTTATAATATCTTGTCTGATCCAGATAAAAGAAGCCAGTATGATGCCGCCGGTTTTGAGGTATGCTATACATGCATCTAATTTCTGAAGTTTTTTAAGCCTGATGTTTGTCTCTGATTTCTTACTGTTACATTCATTTATGTTATATTCGGTGGTGCCAAGAGCAAAAGGCACAATCTAGGCACTAGAGCCTTTTATACGAGCGAGGTGCAAGGCGTAAAAGAAACACCATCCTAAATGAAGTTGTGCACAATAGGTATAGGCGTGTATTTTTGTAGTCTGTTTGTGTATATAAAAAGAAAAGTTAAGATACATGCAAACTTTTCCCTTTCTTTTGTTGGCCAATTTGCATGATTTCCTTAAAGTCTCATCATCCCCTTTTTACTAGTGAAGATACATTTAATTAAAATAAAAATCAATTATTAAAGAAAACTTCAATCAAGTTGGCCGATTGACAGCATCGATGCACAACGCCTTAGTAACAATGGTTGCACGTGGAGGCTTTAAAGAATTCCTGTTCTTCCACTTTCACTCTTGTCAATGTTTCATCAAGGATTTCCGAACATGATTTTATTGATAAAGCTTGAAATTTAATCGATCATGATGTTTTTCTTTGAATAGGCTGTTGAAGCTGATAACCAAGAATTGGAGCTAGATCTTTCGAGTTTGGGGGCTGTGAACACCATGTTTGCTGCACTTTTTAGGTAACTTCTTGTTCTATTATATTAGTTAAAGTGTTCCATTGTTTCATTGCCTTTATGAATGCAATGCATTGGATATTATTTTAAGTGATTCCTATGAATAGTAAACTTGGTGTGCCAATTAAGACCACTGTATCCGCGACTGTTTTAGAGGAGGCACTTAATGGTGCAGTCACTATTCGCCCACTTTTGCTGGGGCAACCTATTTATAGGAAGGTGAGATAATTAAATTCATGTTCATTTATTGTACTTTTATTAATCATTTATGCAATCACTGAATTTGTTGCATGTTTAACAGGTTGAAAAACAATGTGCTCACTTCTACTCTGTTGCAGTAACAGAAGAAGAAGCAAGAGATGGGTTTGTTTGCCGAGTACAATCATCTGATAAAAGCAAGTTCAAGGTGGATAAACCATGACTACTTATGGATTCAACATTATCCTTTTTTCTTGTTCTTTTTTTTGTTTGGTTGGGGGGCGGAGTGTGGTGGGAGTCGTTTGGAGGTTGCATTGATAAAAACTGTGATTCATTTCATCTTATTGTACTAATGAAATAAAATTTGAACTGTGCGCCATTGCAAATTGTATGCGAGTGTGTGTGATATAAAAGGAAAAAGAAAAAAAAGAAAGAAAACCACCATCATCATGGGAGTATTATGTTGATTTAGGTTATAAGTATTCATTGAATCGAGAATCGTTGAAGCTATTAGTCTAAGTCACATAAAACTGATGCTGGAAGCTAGGGTTTTATCCCTTTTATTTTGTGCTTAGCTGTGTTACTGTGGATCGAGAGATGAACTTTGCAATAATTTTATTTTGTACTTATGATCTCATTTTTGGTGGTTATGACTTATGATATGTAGTCTAGGTCAAAGTTCTTGTGTTGTGCAGTTTTACCTTTTATTTTGATTCGAATATCCTTGCAACATGTTTTGCTCCCTATGGAAGCTTAGAACTAAAACTTCCATAAAGATTCATGGTCAAGTCTCCTTCGGAAATACTAATTATCTGGTTTTCATGGCGACTCAAAATAATAATAAAAAAATATTATGATCTCTTAGTCTTTCCTGGTGCATCAATAATTACTCATTTTCCCCTCCATTTGTTATTGATTGCAGTTATTGTATTTTGATCTAGAAGAGAATGGTGGATTGAGCCTTGCACTGCAGGTAATGAACTCCTTTCCTTCCGCTTTTCGCTTATCATAATTACGTCTGTTAGCCTCCACATCAAAAGCTCCTCCATTGTTAATCCTAGTCCATTGCACGTGTTGAAAAGCTACTTTTGTTTCTTTTTGGTGACTGGTGTAGGAGGATAGTGCCAAGACAGGAAAAGTTACGGCTGCTGGAATGTATTTTCTTGGCTTCCCTGTCTATTGCCTGGATCAAACAGTAAATTCAGTGAGTTACCATTTATGAATACGTCGTAGTTGTGCTAAACATTGAAATTGATGTTTGATTTTGTTGCTTTTCTTCTGGTTCTGGAAACGCGTCACTGCAGGTAGCTGCCGCAAAGGATCCGGATGCAGCTTTCTTCAAAAAGTTGGATGGATTTCAACAGTGTGAAGTAACTGAATTAAAACCAGGCACACATGTATTTGCTGTCTATGGTTTGCTCTTTAATCTATACGTCTCGCTGAGGTCTTGTGCCTATTGGTATATAATGCATGGATTAATCTCGCTACGATTTTAATATTTTGGCACGTAACTTGTAGGTGACAACTTTTTCAAAAGTGTAAGTTACACAATAGAAGCTATTTGTGCAGCCCCTTTCATAGAGGAAAAAGAAAACCTTAGAGCGGTGGAAGCAGAGATTCTGTCCAAACGAGCGGAACTGTCGAAGTTCGAAACCGACTACAGAGAAGTATTTACTTCCGCAAATACAATGTTTATGCCCGTGTTAAACCCTTTTTCTCTTGTTGACATTCACGTAAATTGCTGGCAGGTCCTCGCACAATTTACTGAAATGACGAGCAGATACGCGAACGAAATGCAAGAGGTGAGATTCGACGTGCGGAGCTTGAGTGTCTAAGCAAACGGATACATTTCTTGATTACATCCTATATGCTGGGTCTTTCAGATCGATGAGCTTCTCAAACAAAGGAACGAGATTCATGCCTCGTACACAACGGTTCCACTAATTAAGCGGAGTTCGAGTAGGAACAAGAGTAAGGCTGCCTCCGAAGAGGCCAAAGAAGACGGCGAAGTAAGAGACCCTAAACATTCCACGAGGGATAGAACTAAGAAGAAGAAATGGTATAACATAAAAGTAGATGGGGGAAAGCCATGCTGAACAGGTAAAGTACGGTGTTTCGTTTTCTAGGAAGATACCCTCCAATTCGAATGAACGATAACGAATAACCGTTGCTTGAATCCTGTTGAATATCGTAGCAGGTTATAAAGTTGGCAACTTTGGGGTCTGAAAAAATTTACTTGTATGGGAAATCTTAAAAAAAATTAAAACTTTTAAATTTCTAATTTCAAATCTTCTATTTTTATCTGCCATCATCGATCAACTCTATTACTGAATGGTCATCCATCCATATCCATACGTTACCGTTCATCTAATGATCGATTATTGTCCTTATCATTATTAATATGAAATATAGTAATTTACATGAGAGCTTCACCAAAACGTCCGGTGACAGTAAGTATAATTTACCCAAAACTAAAAAATCAATGTACCTTTCCCAGAACTAGTAAAGATGCCGTTTGTATTTTGAAAAGACAGATCTTTTGAGCTGTTTTCATCTGCCGCCGGTTCGGGAGCCGTGTCGGATTTGACGGCGCGTTTCCCAATTGACCTCCGGTCAGTTTCCCTGTCCATTCATAACACCATTGATTTGCACATTTCTCCAGATTTTTTTAGCACCAGAAAACGGCAGAGCGCAGGGTAGTGGATTTTGGAATCCCAGCAACTAACAAGTCTCTGTCTCCCGCTGTAATAAAAAATTAGATTGCGGATTTATTAGACAGAGAAAGATTTGATTTTGAGAGAGAAACAAAAACACAAAATTTTAACTAAGAAAAACGAAATTGAAATCTAAAGACGAACATTACAGCGTATAAAACCCAGTGTTGGGTATTTTTTGCCTTGAGATGGCGGTGAGGGCGGAGGAGAAGGGTGGAGGAATACACGTCCTCGCCGTCGATGATAGCCTCGTTGACCGGAAAGTAATTGGAAGTTTGCTAAAAATTACTTCTTGTAAAGGTCGGTCATTATGGTTCCGTTATTTTTTTGTCACTCCATAAATTACTCAGGCTAAAAATCACTACTTGGATTATTGCAGTGACGGCAGTGGATAGCGGACGAAGAGCTCTGCAATTTCTGGGATTGGATGATGAGAAAGAAGCTAATGGATTTGATGTGAGTATACCTGAAATTTCATCGGTATTCTAAATATATGATTTTTCAGCTTTGGTTTCTGTTTTTTTCAGGGTTTAAAGGTTGATCTGATCATCACAGATTATTGCATGCCTGGAATGACCGGCTACGAATTGCTCAAGAAAGTTGAGGTTCGAAAAAATATATTAAATTTGACGAATTCACCTGCAGAAACTTTGCACTTTTGCAGCGCTCATCTGAATGAATGTTGTTTTGATTCGAACAGGAATCCTCTGTTTTCAGAGAAATCGCAGTTGTAATCATGTCGTTGGAGAACATTATCTTAGAGGAAGGGGCGGAGCATTTCATAGTGAAACCGGTGAAATTATCAGATGTTGAACGAACAATCGATTTACTTGACGGTAGATTTCGGAGAGGGAGAAGGAAGAGGAATCGACAAGAGAAAGCTAAGAGACGACGGCGATGATCGATCTCCATCGTCTCCGCCGTCCATATGGTCGTCATCATCATCGTGTTCTCCATCAACACTGGACTCTCCCACCAGACGTCTCAAAATGACAAGCTTTGAAGAGCATAATTTTTACTAATGAAAATTGAAACTTTCTCCTCTTGCAGTTCTCCGTTGATCTTCTGACGCTTTTGTTGCGCTTTGCTACCCAATCAAAATTTTCTCCTTAGCTATTCCTGTGATTTATTCTGTTAATTCATTAACTGAATCTGAATATAAAATTTAGGCGCTGTTTGATTAAATCAAAATGATTAATCGTTAAATGATTTAATTACTTTAATGATTTAATGGATTCAATGAGCTGAATGATTCAATGAGTTGAATGATTCAAAGGTTCTGTATGAATTAATTTTGAATGTGACATGTTATTTGATAATGATTACAAATCATTCAGAATGTATTTTAATGTTGAATCATTCATCAGTATTGTGCTAAATTATTCAACATAATCTTTATTCAGATGTGAGAATCAAACACCCTTAATGTTGAATTTAATGCTAAACGATTTAACATTCAACGTTGAATAATTTTATTCAGCAGTAAACAAACAACCTCTTAATTTGATAAAAAATAATTTTACTTTTTATATTTTGTGATTTAATATAATTTATTCGATTTTTTTAATATATATATATTCATATAAATAAATAAATAAAAATTTTAATTTAGGTAAATTATGCGCTTATTTATTGAATTTTAGTCTTTCTTATTTCACTCAACATATATTTTTTTTCAATTTACTAATTGAACTCTATACATTAAATTTTTATATGTCCATTAAATTTCTAACGGGATTATGATGTTGTTATATTAATTGAAAAAAATTAAAAGTACAGTGAATAAAATAATAGATAGAGTAAAATTCAATGAGTAAATGTGTAAATTATCTTTTTAATTATATATCCTATATGACATGTGTTATTATTAAAATAAGTCACATGAGCACCCCGTTACGGAGTAAACGGTCGATTGACAAAAAGTTTAATGTCTAAAGTTTAGTGAACAAATTAAAAAAATTTAAAATTATGAATAGTGAAATAGGAGATAGAGTAAAATTCAATGAGTAAACGTGTAATTTACCCATTTAATTCTTATTAGGTTAGTGGATTACACATTTATTAGTTTAAATGATATCAAAAATATAAAACCTTATTTTTTATTTTTGGATTTTTTGATAATTTGAAATTCGAATTTATTTGATTTGTATTTGATACGATTGTTTAATTTTTTCAGATATCTAATCTAAATTATCCGAAAATAAAAAAAATGAATCTAATATTCAATTTTTCAAATTGAATCACTGGTATCAATGGATTATATCAATGGACTCAGATCTTTTTGCAAACTCCTAGTGCTAACTCAAATTATATCATTTCCTTTCTTTATCGTATTAAATTTATGGTTAAATTACGTGTTTAATACTTAAATAATCAGTTTTAGTATATAAATTTTTAATTTTTTCAAAATCATATTTACATTTAATTTTTATTTTATTTTAATTACCCGTCTTTAAAAACTTAATACATTTAATATCTAAACTATCAATTTATTTTGTTTTAGTACTTAAACTTATAACTTTTTTTAAAATGACAATAAAATAAAACAAAAATTAAACGTCAGATGTGATTTTGAAAAAATTAAAAGTTTAACTATTAAAATAGATTAAAACTGATTATTTAGATATTAAATGCATATTTTACACTAAAGTTATTTATAACTAATTAGTTTGAAGACAAGTTATATATTGTTTTTTTTAAGTTTTTTTTTATTAAACTAAGATGATTACAAAGTAATATTTGTTTTAAATACTCTCATCCAATTGAGAATGAAAATTCAATATCTCAATTGCAGTCACTAATCCTTGAACCCATGACCTCAGAAACAACAACTATATGGTCCAGTTTATGTTGTTTCTACGACACATAACATGCATATTTTTTTAAGACAAATTATATATATATTTTTAATTTCAAACCTATAATACAAAGTTTGGCTGTAAGACTTTGTTCATTCTCATGCAACCAACAACTTTAGCCATTACACACATCCACTGCCCTGCATCTTTTCCTGTATGTATCAACATAAAAAGTAAAATAAAAATGGTTTATGTAAGCAATAGGCACAAATAATCATCAAACTCCACACAATATTCATGGTTTATGTTGAGCATAGATCGATGTTTGAATGGCCTGATGACGGGGAAGAGCTTTTCCGTTTACGAGCACTTGCTCCAAGAAATCAACACGAATCGACTTGAACTTGTAACACTGCAATCATTGCACCCCCCATCAAATACTACAGCATGTTCATATTTTGAGCCCTTCCCAACCAGAAAAAAAAAGAGAGTAAACTCCAGGAGAAAATACCTTTCCTTTCCAAAAAAAGTCGACCTGGCGAAAATGAGGATCCAACAAAGTGAGTTGATCTCCTTCTTTAATCTGCGACCAGAAGGTTTGATAGATTCAGATACACAGCTCTGGATGACTAATAATCAGAACCAAATTGAAACAGGAGGAAAAAAATAGCATCGAGGCTTGAGTCGAAGTAAGCAGTGAAGCAGAACACTTACCGTATCGTTGCGTATGCCATATACTGATAGAACAAAGCAACTTTGATTTGAATCGCACACCAAATAGTAACTGCTAAACCAAAATAAATTTCTCATATTTTGCCTAAGAATTCAACAGATAGGAAAGGAAAATAAACTATTAGTTTAAAACAAAAGAAAGCCACATTTTACAACTAAAAATCCAAACCTACAAGAATCAGAACCTCAAGCAACCTAAGCCAGAAAACCCAAAAATCATATTGAAATTGTTACATCTTTTAAAGATCTAAAATAGTCTTAAAGCCGAACGAACATTGCCCATAATATATCTATGATCTCAAGATGTAGCACTAACATTTTACATAAATCCCACATTGAACTTACTTTTAAACCATAAGAAACCCCAATAGCAATTAAGTCTGCAGCAACATTGCAGGCCAGCATTCTGCTTGTGGAAGTCCATTTAATGATTAGCAAAATATACCATATGACATTTTTAGAGTAACAACACAAATGACATTCAATGTGCTTACTGCTTACATCCATAATTTTGAGATCATGGCTTAAAAAGAAAAATCATACAAGTTAGATACGTATATATAACTTTATAAGCACTACAAAAAGAAAATAAATAGAACAAATGGAGATGTGAAGTAGAACTCGTACAGGGGGGTTATATTCTCATGCTTAACAAACAACAGCACTTTTCCCTGTACAGCAACTGCTTTATTCAGACCTTCTGATAGCACATCTATAGTGGCCTTTCTATACGAGGAGTTCACTAACACAAGAAAATGCAAATAAAAGGTACTCAGTGCATTCCAATTGATAATAATTTTGGTAAGCAGCTCACTTAGATTAATATGAACAAACGACCAAAACACAGTAGAAAGATCAGACCGCTTACAATTAACAGCACCAATTGTTGATGAAGCAAGTCTTTTTGCCTTGGAATGTCCCTGTATAAACCTATCTATCAAATTTTCAGTGGAAAATAATATTACACAACCATCACAGAATGTTAACTGATACCAGTAAGGAAAAGCAAGTATTCTCTCATGATGCCATAGCCTATAGCCAATAGCCAAATCACTGAAACTATAATTTACACTAGCGATTTCACAAAATAAGTTTTGCGTTATGCACTCTTCATTATCAAAACAAACCTATGAAAGCATGTAGCATTATCAATGTGAGTGGAATGAAAAGCCAACAAATTGGAAATAGATGTTCACAAGACCATTAAGAAGAGACATCAATAGAACCGTAGACAACGAATCAAAATTGTTGGAAACCATCCCCCTATCCCTTGTCTCTTCCAAGTACCAGATGAATACACAAATATGCGAGAAAATTATGCTTTCATTTTAAATGGCAACTTTAATTTGCTTTTCTGATGAGATTTAATAGGGAAAAGCCACAAGTGTTTTTACATGCAAAATATATTAAAAGAAACTAAGGCTTCAATATTGAAATGATTCACATAGCATTGTAGTCTATTGAGGTTCACTTCTAACTTATATTACCAAATCATTATGATACAAGGGTTTAGGGATATATTCAGCATTTTTGTATTTCCCTTTAAATTTAGGGAAAATACCTATAAGTGCTTATTTTATTCTCAATTTCAAGAAGTCCCTAAATTGTGATAATTAGGATTTTAAGATTTAAACTATTGGCTTCATGGTTTCTCCATTTTTTCTACCAATTATTCTATCTTTCAATAGATTCATCTATTTGATCACCCTCTATAGTTTTCTCTGTTCACCATTTATCTGGCTTTTTTGCTTACCTGTTCTGCATCACTATATTAGGCAATTAGGAATGAATGGTACATATTAGTTTATTTGAAAAAGGATTAAATATGTCAAAGGTTTTTCTTTGTACTATTTTAAAATTTAAAAATCTAGTCCCTATACTTATTTTTGCTACATTGACTAGTTTTATTTGAAAATCTTGGTCTCTCCCCTAACTTCTGTTAGTTCTGCCGTTATATTTTCTAGTCCTATACACTTGCAATTAATCCATTAGACCTTTAAAAGCTGCAAATGTAGATGATTGAAAATTGTATTGTTCAATTAACGATAATAATTATTTATTTTTAAAGATTAAGGGTCAAATTGATAAAAATCTCTAAATGAAGATAGTTGCCAGGTCAGCAATTAACACTAAAATTGAACAAAAGTTAGGGCAGGACCAAGATTGTCAAATAAAAAATAGAATAAGAACTCAATTTTACAAACAAAAAAAGTATAGGGACTACACTTTAAATTTTGAGATAGTATATCGACCCCTAGCATATTTAAACCTTTGAAAATGAGGCTTAGGAAGCAGGTTTTAAAAATGAAAAAGAAAAGGAAAGAAGTACAGCATTGCTCTTATACCCAAGAAATATATCAAAAGAAAATTGGATCCAACTATATATTCTTTCACGCATTCAATATAGACATGTGCATCTATAATGAATGTTTGCACGTATTTCATAAAAATTTCTGTTTCACATTAATGCTCGAGATTATTTGAATACTGACGGACATAAGAACATTTATGAATTAATATTTTTACCTCATCCTTCTTTTATCCTATTTCAATGTGAATACTAATGACATTTAGAATTGTACATGTAATATACATTGCAAGCTTCTACAGTGGAACTTGTTCAAAATATGCATTTTAAGTGGTAATGAGATCTGGCAAGAAATTGTGTATAAAAAGAAGCAAATCTTCATAAGCTGGTTTGAATGTGGGGAGTAATTTCTCCATAAAGGAAAAGTGTTGAAAATGAATCACCAGAATAAGGGCCATTGCATAAGACAACTGATTCAGCATTTATCCATAACCATTCTTTTGGCTTCTTAGAGAGAAAAAAAATACATTACCCTAAGCAAATTCTCCAGTTTGTCAAGAAGATTGACCATCTTTTCAACCTCCTGAGATGCATTGAGACTTGGATCCTTCAAGGCAGCAGCTTCAAATCCAGCAAGAGCCCTATCATAATTCTCTAGATATCTGTTTACCTGAAAGTAGAAAGTTCATCAAATCCATAGCAGAAATGACCAGCAGCAGCATATCCTATTAAGTGAATAAGTAGATCTTATATCAGACATGTATACTGCATAAGATAGTTAACAAATTGAAGTGAGACACACGTTTCATCTGACAAGAGACAAATTGAAGTGAGACACACATTTCATCTGACAAGAGAGTAATTTTTTTAGCCCGTCAATCTTTTAAACTGAAAAGGGAGCAATATACCAATGTAATTAGTCACTTGTCATAAAGAGAGACCAGGAATTCTAAGAGATCAGGCACAAATAATTTAAAAGGCTCTCAGGTTTTGTTTGATTACTAGGATTTGAAAGAAAGAATTTGAATTTAAGGGCTAATGCAATAGTGTGATAAAACACATTCAAATATTACTTTCATGAATCTTTTTCAAGTTTATGGATTTGCTAGGAGCCTGCTTAGTTGTGAATTTCAAATACATATAGGTGCTTGTGAATTTAAAATTCGTCTTTTCATACCTTTCAAATATCAGTATTAAATCTTGACTAATTTGTGCATGGGAGGTCATTTCATTCTCATAATTCATCTTTCCAGACAAAGGGATCAAAGTAAATGGTGGATTAAGTAGTAAACTCACTGTTGCACAATTAAAATACAGGTCCGGATTTGACTTCATTTTTTCATCCTTCTCCTGTCACATGTAAACAATAATTAAACCACATCCCATAACGTAACATCACTACATTGTCACATAATTACATAATGTTAAAAAAAGCAAAATACAAACCAATACAGAAAAAACATTATTGTTGCCACACTGACAATCATATGATAAGCCTAAACAATTGAATAATGCACTGAAGTTCTGAAGCCACCAACTTACAGAATTTTGGTACGCTTTTAAGGATTGAAGAAGTTTGCTATGATCCCAAGTTCCAGTTACAAAAAAACTTGTCAAGCAAGCATTTCCCAGATTATCTGTCATAGGAAAATTATTCCACGTTGGGAATCAGTGGCGGATCCAAAAATATTTTTGAGGGTGGACACATATATACTAATTATGTAAATTTTTCGCATAGGATAGGTACAAATAAAATTTCAAGGTGGGCACCTTCAGTAAAATTAAATGAACAACTAACATAAATAAATTCGGATTTCAGTGTAGGCACTTGCCCACCTTCGAAACCATTTGCAATCGCCACTGTTGGGAATCAGCGTTCACATTTCGCACCGTTAAGAATTAAGGGTAAAGGCAACAATTACATTTTCTAACATGCACATAAAACAAGAAATGAAAACCAGGCATACATGTGCTTGAAGTCAACTACGGAATTTGGTATTGAGGAAAACCAAAGCGGTCAAGTACTGCATTAGGAACAGAACCCACCCTTTCAGGTTGCAGAATCCAATTACGTTTTTACCTCAAACCAAAAAAATGCTCATTGGCACTTTACATATTATCATAGTTGGATTCAAAAAAATATATAAATTATGTTTTATTTTTATGTTAAAAAATAATAGCATAAGAAAATGAAATAAATTAGCTGACCTTATTCCCATATGTAATGCGGTAAGGGGGAGATAGGGTAGTAGGCTGCCCCCAACGCTAGGTTGAGAGCAACTTCCATGGAAGACCTCCGGCAATTATGAATTGCCCACCGTGGGACTCGATCCCACGACTACAAGGTTAAGAGCCTTGCGCTCTACCAACTGAGCTGGACGGGCAATTCATAAGAAAATGAAATCTTTGACAATATTCTTTTTCATCCCTATGTGACAAAATGTACAAGAACATAAACTAACACCCAAAAAAATAGTAGAGGTAAATTTTGGAGTTCCAATCTTGTGAAAAGGTACATTTGAACATTATCCCTAATAAAATTTAAAATTAGCTGAAAAAGCAGGCCTGCTACATACTCTGTTTCATTTTGAAGGCTGTATGGTTTAAAGCATGATACAGGTTTGAAGAATCTTACACCAAGAATAACCATCCTTGACATCCAAAGTTATAGCTTCCTTAGCATGTTGAATGCTCTCCTCAACCATTGCAGACTGATTATCGGCACCTACAAAAGGCGGAACACCTTTGTTAGAAACTATGAAGCACCTTTGCTCATGATCAAGCCAGGAACAATCCCCAAATAAGAGCAACCATATTGCTTGACAAATGATGATACAGATTTCCATGTCAATTAATTTGTTTTGCATGAGGGGTAAAACTCAAGGCAGTTTTCTGATGCTCAGCCACCTAAGCTGTAGCTTTTCAAAACCTTAACAGTTTGTTTGGATGAGGAAATATCAGGACCTAAAAGCATCAACAAATTGGCTACTTGATAGTTGTATTGTCTTTAAATTGCCACCGACAAAATAAAAGAGTGTGGCTGCCCAAAAGTCAATAACGACTTCCTTTGTTGAAATCCAACATTTTATTGGTTTGGTAGTAAAGAAAGGATCCAATAGAAATTGTTGAATGCACCAGCAGCAGGTTACCCTGCTTTAAGGAAGCAATGTCTTCTAGACACGGATCAAGAATCAAAAGCAACTAAACCACACAGAAGATCAAGAAACCCATACGCTTATACTAATATCAAGCATGTTCAATTTGTTCTTCAGTTGAAACAAGTTGGGTCCAAGTAAACGAAAGAAATTATTTATACATTTGTTATTTTTCCTAATTTCTCTGTGAAAACAAATTCCCTTTTGAAAGTGCAAGTTTGCTAATGTGTTTTGCCTGAGTTCTCATGCTCAGCTTCTCAATTTCCAAAACCCACCTAACAAAGCATTCCAACAACACTTTAAAAATGACTGATTGACTACTAATAATCCCCAAAAGGCCGGTAATTTTAAGTCAAAGAACAGATTAGTTGGATTCCCAACTCCTTAAGTATCCGAAAACCATGCACAACAGAATAACCAAAAGTGACTAAGAAAAAAGAAACAAAATCCCTTGCCTTGAGCCATTCTTCTTTCCAGCATTGATAATTGGCACAGAATCTTCTTATTTGGACCCTGTATGATACAAAAACAAAATGTACAACTAATTGTCATGAACTATAAATAAGGCATAACAACTAAAAATGCACACTTAAAAGTCAAAGCTCTAATGTGGGTGATAACCTTGCTAAGTGCAAGATTAAAGCAGTTCTTAGCTGAAGTAAAATCTCCCTTCTTCCAAATGCAGTTACCCAAACAGAGCCATGCATCTGCAAGAGATGGATTCAGTTTAACCTGGAGAAGGAAAATATTAGATAAAAAGTATGAGCCTTACTCAGAATCCAAGCATTATGGAAAACCATTAAACCAAGACAACACTCTGTTCCCACTTACTGCTTTCGAGAGATGGTCCTCTGCTTCTTTCCTATAGTCAGGTACAGCATCTAATATCTTCCCTCTCAAATACTCGTATGTTGCGCGCTGTACAGGCAATTTTCTTTGTTCTGTAGTGAAAATGGTAAGTTAATTGTTTAATGGGCAAAAAAGATAGATATAAACATACAGGTTAAAAAAAGATGAAAATTCCCAGTCCCATTTCTGCTTGTTTAATACCATGGTGTCACTGCACATCAATGGGTTATACCAACATGAAAAAGAAATATAGGAACACCCATCTAACAGAAACATGAAGGTGTAAGTCCGAATTCTGTCCCTTCACTATTTTTAATTCGACAGTTTAGACTTTCTAGTCTTTACCTCAATATTAATGAATCGAATCCTTGCATTACAATTCAGAACCCAAGTAAAAACTTTACTGCTAATTTGGATAATGCAGCATTTTGGCGATGGCGTGGCATCAAAATAACAGCATTCCACTTTCTTATTGGAGCACAAACATCAACAAAAACTTCAAATTAAAATAGTTTAGAATTAGTAGAAGGGCCAACTTCAGACTTTTAGACCAAAATATATGCATAAACGTCTAGTGATAAGCATTCCAGTTATCACAGTATTCTCAAACAAACTTCAACTCATCATTCTTCCTTTCAAGGCAAAGAGGATGGAAACAACAAATTAAAAGGGCAATAAATTTGAATGTAGAACACCAATCTATTTGCTTGCAACCCAAAAATGGAAAACTAAAAGCATTTTCAAACGCAACTTTACTTAATCCAGGAGAATAGAGCAAACGAAAGAAGAATCAAGGTACGATTTGAGAAAATACCAGCAGGAATGGAATCGAGGAGCTTGAGAGCGAGATCTGATTCGTGTTGAAGTTTAGATGTTTTATCATCTGGGTTTAGAGGGAAAAAAGTGTCTCTAATCTCGTACAAATCATCAGCTGCTTTTCTGGGTTTTCCCCATACATCATACTCTTCGTCCTTGCCCACAGCTGCAGCCATGTTACTTCGCCGGAGGAGAGATGTTGGATTTACTGGAGAGAGGGGGGGGGGGGGACGGACGTTGGCAAAAAAGAAAAGAAAAGCCCAAACACAGGTTTCCAGCACTGTATTTTTGGCCCAATAGGGCATCCAGATAAATAAAACTGCTGTCGGAGTTTTATCCTGAGAAGATAAAAACGACAATTGAATATGACCAGCGAAATCACGTCACTAGCGTTACGAATTTCTTTTTTAAATATAATATTAAATTATAACCATAAAAATAATATTATTTTAAATAAACTTATCATCTCGAAATGATGAGTTTTATTAAAATAATATTATTTTTCCAGTGATTTAATTTAAATTGAAAATTGGAAAAATATTAAAATTCGTCACCTTAAAGTAAAGAATTTCTTTAAAATAATATTATTTTTTTCGTAGTTATTTGTTAATATTATATTTAAAAAAGAAAGTGGTAATGTTGAGGTGACGCGATTTGAGTGATCATATTCGGTTGTTGTTTTTATCTTCTTAATGCGAGGAGTTCAAACGATCATACTGATATATGACTGAAAAGTTAAACAGATTGTAATAAATTTTGTTTAAAAGAACATTGAACTATAAACATTACATTAAACCATTAAACATTACATTATGGAGAAAAAAACAATGAACCATGAGAAATGCACATTAAGAAGAAAAAACAACAATTACCTTAAGGACGTAAATAAGACTAACCTTACACACACCTTAAACATTAAATAAAATCATAAACATAGTAGTATTCATTATGATGCTTTAATCTTGTAATTAGTAGACTCGTTAGAAGTAATATTAAGTTCTACAATTCTCCATGCTTTTTCTTGTTGTCGTTCACGTACAAAATGGAACCATGCTTCTGGGTCTCCATCATTTATGTTTGATTCTTCGTCATTTGTCTGAGTTGGTGGGATATTCGAATTGGAAGCATCATCCTCAACCGTACGAGCAAGGTCGAGATCAGCGAACTCTACGAACAAATCGACATTATACAAAGAATGATAGAAGTATGTCTCAATTATACCAGCAAGGTCGACGTCATCGATTATTTGAAACCTCGTGCAAGATAGTGGCAATTTATAATATAACGAAGATGTTCTTTCACTACTTTCGAATCGAACCCTTGTTTCTATATTGATCTTCAACTCGTCTAGTTGAATATTTTTTCGAAACACATGGTTAAAGATTTACAATCATAAAAAATAGTTGCACAAATATTTGCCATGTTCGCAAAAAACTCAAGTTTTGGAAGTGAAAGACTGAAGTTGTTTTAGATTTTTTTGCTTCAAATGAATAAAATAGCTTTCACCATACACATATTAATATGTTTATGAAAAGTTTGTGGACTGAAAAGTTTATGTCATGGTGCATTATTTTGTATATAGGAATTGCACGTTTTTGTTGATATGAAGTGATATATCACCACTGGAAAGTTTTCTGAAATGAGTTGATATATCGCATAAAAGTTGTTGAAGATGATTAATTGGGCACTAAAATATTTCTGTCACGGTGCATTATTTTGCCTATGAGAAATACATATTTTTTCTTATATGAAGTGATATATCACTATTAAAAAGTTTTCTGAAATGAGTTAATATATCATTGAAAAGTAACTGAAGATGATTAATTGGGCATTGAAAAGTTTCTGCCATGGTACATTATTTTGCCTATGAGAAATACACGTTTTTCTTATATGAAATGATATATCACCACTGAAAAGTTTTATGAAATGAGTTGATATATCACTGAAAAGTTGCTAAAGATGATTAATTGGGCACAAAAAAGTTATTGAAGATGATTAATTGGGCACCGAAAAGTTTCTTTCATTCTGCATTATTTTGCATGTGAGAAATAAACGTTTTTCTTATATAAAGTGATATATCATCACTGAAAAGTTTTCTAAAATGAGTTGATATATCACTGAAAAGATGCTAAAGATGATTAATTGGGCACTAAAAATTTACTGAAATGGTTCATTATTTTGCCTATGAAAAATGCACATTTTTCTAATATGAATTGATATATCATTAGTGAAAGTTTTCTAAAATGAGTTGATATATCACTGAAACGTTGCTAAAGATGATTAATTTGGCACACTTAGATTCTGCCATGCTGCATTATTTTGCCTATGAGATGACATTTCACTGAAAAGTTTCTGTCACGAAATTGAATTATCATTGATGATAGCTCATTTTTCTTTTAAATTGGCTTACTTCATGTGAATCTTCACAAAACTTTTTTACTTTTCACAATTGCATTGAACAACCAAAAACCTTTCTCAAGCTATGGCTAACAAATTTTTCATAATCATCCACTCAAATGGCCAAGTTATCCAAACTGATAATGGTGTTGGGTTTATGTCAAAGAGGCCCGTAAACATGGTGTTCCTTGTATATGTATCTCATTGTCAAATGAAGTAGAAAATTGAAAAAAAAAACTTGGACCTTCTATTTCATGTTTAAGTTATCGACACATTATTTCAGAGACTCCGCTCAAATATGGAGCAATCCAGATTGATGATGAGGATGGAGTTGTTATGGTTGGCCTGCATCAATCTTCAAATAATCAAATTTTTAGGATCGAAGAGGCTTAATTGAACAACCAAAAAATGTGCAAGAGGGGTGAATTGGCAAAAACGATTGAGGGAGTTAGGAGAAATAAAAGATAAAAAGTTTGCACAGAGATTTATAGTGGTTCGACTTCTCAACCAAGTTTACATCCACTACCTTAGCTCATCACTAAGGATTTTCTAACAAATTCACTAATTTATTTTTTCTTTTTACAGGATCAAGAGATAACCTTTACAACTCCCTAGTTTTTCACTTGGCTAAACTAGAACCAATCCCCTTTACAAATGGTAAAAAGAAGTAAACAAATAAAACTTCTCAAATGTAGGTTGTTTACAAATTAAAGTTCACAAGAACAAAATATTTACAAGAGATAGTAAAATAAGAATGGAAAACTCTTCTCTTGTGTTTGAATGCTTGGATAGATGTACTAACCCTTTTACAAGTGTCTTGAACTTGTATTTATATGTTGGAATGAAGTTGTTTCTAGTAGTTGGGGATGATTTATAGCCGTTTTGGGATGAAATATCTGCAAAACAAAACTACCCAGTATAGAGGGTATCGGTACTCCTAAAGGGAGTACGGTACTACATTTGTTATTTTTAAATCAACTAGCCGTTGGGGCATGATGGTATCGATACTACTATATAAAGTAGTATCGGTACCCATTTGGGTATCAGTACCATTTTTGCATTCTGGAATTTGAGCAATACTGGTAGTATCGATACTTCTCTTACCTGTATCAGTACCATATGAATAGTATTGGTACTGTTCACGAGGTATCGATAATGTAAGAACAGTATAGATACTTCTTGACGTGAAAATCAGTTTGTGCTCAAATCCACTTTTAAGGACTTTGAATTATTTTTTAAAACTTTGAATAAATTCAATTCAAATCCAAAAAACATTTTGTCTTAATTGTTATATCAAAATATAGTTCAACAATCTCCCCCTTTTTGATATAACAAAAACATTTGAAAAATTATTTTTTAAAAAAAACTTCCCCTTAATAAAATATTTAATGAAAAAGATACCAATTGTTGGAAAATATGTGAAAATGTTCAACTCCTCCTTTTTCATTAAGAAATTGAATTTTTTAAACCATATTTCTCCCCCTTTTTATATAAAAAATGATTCAACTTTAAAGTTCAAAAATAACATTGGAGAGTTAGTGATAAATTTAACATTAAAAGCATTTGAAAAAAATAAAAAGCCCCCCTAAAAAAAAGTGCATCCCAAACAAAGTTTGACTCTAAAAGCTTGACACTTAAACAAAATTGAATTTCAACAAATAGTAACAAACATGTTAGTAACACGTGAAATTCAATATATCCAAGTCTAAAATACTTTATGCAATACTAATTATTGAAGCATAAAGCTTTCAAAAATGTTATGCATTTGAAGAATTTGATATCAATTGTTAGAGAGATATCTTTTGCATAAAACACATACATAAACATTTAAATTTAGGTCAAAAATTTAAAATTTGTAAAATCAAACCATTTGAAAAGTTGATATCAATTGTTAGAGAGATATCATTTGCATTGAAAATCAATTTTGACAAAAATTCATTATGATGAACTAAAAATTATGAAAAATCATTAACACTTGATAATGTTCATCATAAAGCATTTTTCAACAATCATGAGATTAAAAACAATGCATAATCATTTAAAATCAAAATTCATGCATGCATAAACTAAATGAGCAACCTAATAACCAAAATTAAAAGCATTAAGATTAGAGGTTTCCCATTCCTTTTTCAAGTGTGGCTAGAGCATTTGAGTATCATTACTTTCATCGCCATTGCTCTCACACATCTACAAGAGACATTTATTTGGATTTTGGTATCCAAAATGCTTTGGATCATTGGACGTTAGTTTCAATGCCCCTTTTTATAAGGGTGTTTGAACATTCATTGTCAAATGATTAATAATATTTTAAACATATACTACCCATATGATCACTCAAACTAATAAAAAGTTAACTTATTATTAATTGATATGTTAAAAATAAAATTATTATACGCAGTTTTTAATATGTACAAAATTAATAGATTCCATTATTAGGGGTTGTTTGGTTCATAGAAAAGATCTATACCCATGTTTAATTTGAAGTGATTTCCACTACGATGAAAAAAATTATTATCAATAGTAATACTTTTTTTTTTATCAAATTGTAGGAATGTGATTCTCTCCAATTTTCTTAGGGGGCGTTAGGTTAACGGAAAAGATCATTATCACGGGAAATAATCTTTTCGGAATTGTATTCTCCTGTTATGTTCGCAAAAAAGATCATTATAAGGTAATAACTTATTACCAATAGTAGCATTTTTTGGTTAAAATGGTTAGAATGTCTGTACCTATAAAATTTTAAGTAATGAAAAATTCTCACCACTTTGGACATAGATACCCTAAAATGATGCATTCTTTTTATATGAGTCATTCTCAATCTTATTCTTTATGCTTTAATCAAAACTATAAACTTAATAATAATATAAAAATAATTTAATTTAGTAATATATTAATAAATTTGAGTAGTTAAAATTATTTCATATTTTTTATATTAATCATTTTGTAATTTTATGAGATGAAAATGTTATTATTATAAAAAAGTAATTATTTAAAATAATATTTAATTTTGAGTTAGTAAAAAGTAGATATTATATATTAAAAAATAATATATTTGTTTGAGACAATAATACTATTTTTATATTATATTATATTTTTATATAAATAAATATGATACTTATAAAAATTATTTAAAAATATACGTTTGATTTACTAATTATATTAATTATATGTTAAATGTTTTTTCTTTAAACTTGGATAGGGTAATAATTAAAATATTTTTATTTAAATATTTATAATTTAATATTAAAGTTTCACTTGTTAAAAAAACATATATTACAAGGATAATTGCGTAAAACATGCATATAAGTAATCCTTTCTCAGAGTATTGTTACATTCCAGTGATCTTATTTTCAAAAGTAATTTTACATTCCGTGAACCAACATACTCTAAGGGATTAAAGTTAATTATTTATATCATATTTTTTAATTAGGTAGCTAATTATTTATTTTAAGATATACATTTATTAATTTATTTTAAATTAATTCAATATTTAAATGGTGTTACAAACAACTAAATACTTGATGGTATTTTAATATTTAATATGTTTTTATTAGCATTATATTTATGATACTTATAATATTAATAATTAATATATTATCTAGTGATTATTTTTGTATTTTTTGTTGATTAATTTTAGGATGTCAGTTTAGAATTATGTTTGTTCTCAGTGATCCTCTATTCATTCGACCTGAGATAGACCAAAAGATTAAAGCATATTCGAATACATAAATTTTATATGTTAGGTAAAAGAATTTAAACAAAACAAGTTACCAAGCATTATATTTTTATACATTCATTTAAAAAACTACACAAATGATCATTAATATTTGAGTAAATTTTATTTTTTTATTGAAGTTTTAAAAGTAACAAACTGATCACTAAGGTTATCGATATGTAACAAATCAATCACTCGACGTTAATAGCCATTCATATTAACTATGGAAGGCTTACCTGGACCATTAATCATCTGCCTGGATTGTTTAATGCTAGCCGAAGAATCGTTGAACTACCTGATGCTTAAAACTTGTATTTTCACCATTTTTTATCGCCACAAACACAAACACATGGGTCAAAATGTAACACCCTAGACCCAATTGGGCCTAAAGTACCACATTAGGCTACCGAGACAACCCCTGATTTTCAAAACATGTTTGTTTTCTTTTTAAACATACTGAATGGTATCATAAATAAAACATACATACCGTTATCAAAAAACCAATTACAAAACTAGAGCTCCGTGACACACAATTTAAAATCAAAATAATACAACTATGAGTTTAATAAATTAAATACATAAGGTACTATGAATGCATATGTTCGCTAAACTATGGTACAATAATTTGAAAGAGATGCTGGAAGTCCTGTAGCGACAGTGCTCCACGAACTGCTCATGCTACTAACATGCCGGCGAAAACATCCGAAGGCTGAGTTTACAAGGCTTAACAGTATAATCGCTAATCTAGAACAGCATAAGAATTTCATAAACGTAAGCATGCTGAAGACGTGGCTCTAAGCAGTAGGTTCATGCATGATCTAGATCAAACGCTATCTACTTAAGGATTAGCTGTTCTATCTCTGAAGTAGGGGTCTCTAACCCTAATATATGAATCCGCTACGCATTATCTAAATACGATACTGGCTCTACTGTGCATTATTTGAATGCCATACTAACTCTACTGTGCATTATCTGAATACACTATTGATTCTATTGTACATTATCTGAATGCACTACTGATTCTATTGTGCATTATCTGAATGCAATGTTGATTATGTTGTGACTCATACACTAGCTAAGGTAGATATTATGGTGCAGCTGAGGGGTTGCATCTCGGAGCTCACACACCCCTCTATCCTGCCAGATACTAATATATGATACAACACAACAGACATAAAGTCGTGGAAGGTAATATGGTGCAACTGAGGGGCTGCATCTCGGAGCTCAAGCACCCCTCTATCTTGCAGGAATATCCCCAGGTACCTGAGTTGAGATCCAAAACTACATCAGAAACGTACACCTGACCCTTCGGATATATGGGGTGAGATCCGGAGCTGTATCGGAAATGTACACCTCTAACTTATTCCGAAGAGTCTCGGGGCATCTGTGCCCAACTGGCAAAAGAAGTGCCTTGGCACTAGTTGGTATCTGGACATACTGATAACAAGACAATCACCCTGCTGCTAAAGTAACTCGGGTGTCCTAGTTATTTCCCGAGTGTCACACAAATGCTAGTTTTATGACATCCTAGTTGTTACTGTTACTTTTTTCTAGCTGTTTTGAGTTCTTACTGATAATTTGTACTGGTTTGGTTGCTCACCACTTAATAGTCATTCTCTGACTCTGAGGAAATCTCTACGCGTTCATTTCTGGGTAGCAATACTCTATTAGCTAATACTATGCTTTCCCCTCAATTCACCATTGGATTAAAGGAACATATGTATGACTAACATTCTCGGTTTTTTCTTTTCGATATACGACACTGCTGTTTCATAAACTGATTTCTTGGTCATACCTCTCGGCGGTACATCCTGTGCATCGATCCTCCATCCAATTAAGCCCAACGACTTGAATTATAAATTCTGCGGGTTTCACTAACCTCACAGGTAAACCCGAATCTGCTAGCACGAAATCTGGGGTGTTACACAAAATTCAAACTGGGTGATCCAACGGCACCAACAATAGCCGTCTCACTCACTTCCTAGATTATTAGAGCTCTCTCGCTTCCACCACTTCCATCTTCTCCTCTAACATCCCCATTGACACTGCTCGCAACCTTTAAGTTGGTCTCTACACTCCCTTCCTATCTTTAGACAACCAACAACTCATTCCCATTCTAGTTTTTTTCTTTCAACGGAGGCGGCTTCAGCTTCTTAAGCGTTGTGGATTACTGAAAATATTATTATTAATTTGTTTTATCCCACAACATTTTCATTCGGTCATGGATGGGATTAAAGCTCAGGCTAAACTAAAACACTTTGAGAATTGAGATAGCTCATAGACAAATACAAAGTCAAGATCAATGGATTATAAACACAACAAATATGAAATAATTAAACAAACAATAATTAATATTAGAAATAACAAATTTTAAAATAAACAAAGAGGTTTTAGGTTTAAAAGAAATGCTTCTCCATGTTTGTTCATGCTAGCATGATTTTTACCTAGAAAAAAAAAGGTTGTATGGAGATCAACCCAATGATTTTCATTGTTCGAAATTTGGTTTGGCATGCAAGGAAAGTCACGTAAAGAGTTAGATTGGCACCTACGCTGTCATCGGCAAAGAAGCAACGAGTTTGGTCAGCATTTTTCGGTGAAATTGTGGCCCAGTTTAGGTCAATGAAGTTAAGGGCATTGAATTCGTCTTTGTGTTGTGGAGGGTAATGGTGTTCAGGAGCTAGACAGTAGTTGACATAGATGCTGATAGCATAGAGCTTAGAGACGAAATTACGACAAACCATGTCGAAGTAGAGGGAGGTGACACTTAGGAAGCTAAAGTCGCCTCCGTTGAAGAAAATTAGAACGACATTAGTTGTTGCGAAAGGGAAGAAGAGGGTGTAGTAAAGACGAACTTAAAGGTTTGCAAACGTCATCAATGGAGATGTTAGAGGAGAATATGGAAGTTGTGGAAGTTGGAGAGCTCTAATAATTAAGGAAGTGGGTGAGACGAGTAGGGATGGCTTGAGTCGATTTTACATCGACCCAAAATAATATATTTATTAAAAATATTATTTTTATTTAGTAAAAATATGGATTTAATTGGAAAAAAATAATCTATAGAGGGGTATTAATATAATTATCCCTAAATATATAACTTTTAAAAAACTTGACTCGACTCAAACCTATTTTTTTTAAAAAAAACCTAACTCGATTGGGTTGGGTCAGGTCGAAACTCGTCGGGTTCAGGTTTCATGCCTAGAGACGACGATTGGCAGTGACGTTGGATCACCCAGTTTGAATTTTGACCCATGTGTTTGTGTTTGTGGAGGGAAAATGGTGAAAATAAGTTTTAAGCTTCAGGGAATTTAACAGTTCTTTCGCTGGCAGTCAACGATCCAAGTAGATGATAAATGGTCAAGGTAAGCCTTCCATCATTAATATTAACGAGCTATTAGTGTCAAGTGACATATTTGTTATAAATCAATAACGTTAGTGATCAATTTGTTACTCTTAAAATTTTAGTAAGAAAAATTAAAACTTATTCAAATATTAATAACCATTTATGTAGTTTACCCTTTAAAATAATATATATGACAAACATTAGAAGACGTGATTATGAAACGTTATTATTTTGTTGTTAGTTAAATTACACCATAAATCATCTAACTATTAGTAAGATTATAAATAGGTCAACCAATAATTAGTAAGATTATAAATGAATCACTTAATTTAGAAAGTTACAAATAAATTACTCAATTAATCATAAAAGAAAATGCATTTTGGATCTTAGGCTTCTCAAAGATCGAAGGCTCTATTTGATGATCCAAACAAGGGATAAAGTAGCATTGGTAAGAGGAATAACATAATCGAGACTGAAAAGTATTTGACGATCGACGGTGTAGATTAAGTTGAAAAAATTCAGAAGTTTTTTTTGGTTGATTTATGACCTTTGAGAGAGATTCTCGGGAATATATTCTGAATAATTGAATGAGAAGATCAAGATATTTTATGATGAAATTCAAGTTCATCAATCGAAAAATACAACAATTAACGATAGTTAGTGCAATGTAACATGATCCATCAATCAAGCAACATACTTGTTATAATCAATTAATTGACTTGATTTTACCTCTTTGAAGTACAATTTTCCATCGTGTAAATCTATTTGATATTTAACGATTCAATGATTTGTTTGACCATCGATTAATTGAAGGATTAGTTTATAACATTTTGAAAGTAGATGAGCTATTTGTAATCTTATTAATACTTGAGAAGCCTTTGTTGTAACTTATACGTAGGGATGGGCATGAGACCCGAACCCGACATTTTTTTGAAAGAGTTAATGCATATTTTGACATTTCACTGCATTAAATTAAACCAGACATGTTTATATGAGATTATTGTATCAACCCTCTATTTGATATGGTTTTTTGTCCATCATTTTTTTCTTATTGAAGAGAATTGGTAGCCGAATCTATTTACAAAGAGAGGTGTATTCCTATGAATAATGGCTCGAGCTGGGCCAAATACATGTCGATTTCTGGTCCACCTGATGATCAATATGATATCATCACTTTACAATATATTGAGGAGGGTTTATTATCTGTAGATGAGAATAGAGAAGGTCGCGCCACCACATTTGGAGATGATATTGCTGTCGAATGTCTTGCAACAGAGTTCAATCGCGAGATATATGTAGTAAGTTGAAGCTATGGTTTATCATATGAATTTTTCTGTTTGATTGGTACTTCCATAGCCATTTTTTTATCACATTGGCTATGTATTGCATCTAATTACCCAGAACTTGTATCTGTATCAACATTTTCCTTTAGCTTAGTTTGAAGCTCATTCTTTGAACTCATCCATTACAGGTTCAAGCACATGGATCGGATGCCATGGTCGACGAAGACAACTGTGTTTTCTTCCTCCCATATCGTCCGAGGAGTGAAATATGTGAACCTCCTTTCTGTTTTTGAAATGAACAAGTTTTTGATTTTTTCTTACTCTTCTTTCATCGAACTGCTATTGAAAGTATTAAAATGATTTTCAAGTTTGGTAACCAACTTTGAAAAAATGGTTTTCAAAGTTTGGTAAATGGTTCTTTGAAAATGGTTTTCAAAGTTTGGTAAATGTTTCTTTGAAAAATAGTTTTTTCAAAGTTTGGTAGATGTTTGTTGAAAAATGATAATGAGATAATCATAATTAATCCCTAGGCTTTAGGGTATTTACAAGATTAAGTCCTTAAGTTTCAACTATAAATACCCTAGCTCATTTAGCTTTAAAACCATCCCAAAATCATTTCTTTCTCCCAATACTATAAAGCTTTCTTGTGAGTAGAGAGTGTTTTTTAAACACCTGTAAATTTTCTCTCTTAGTAAAAGATTTGCAGCAGTCCGGAGACGTAAGCAAATTGGCTGAACTCCGTTATCAATTTCGGGTATTATTTTTCCGCTTTTATTTCACATTCTCACTAATCTGGTTATAAAGAAATTACTCGTACTCGGGTTATTTCCCAACAACTGGTATCAGAGCTTTTGGTTGTGAATTTTGTTATTTTTTTGCGAGGTTACTATTCACTACTATTCACATGAATAGTGAATTTCATGAATAGTAAAAATTTTATCGGCGATACGAGCTTGTCGAGGGAGGTGTTCTAATGCACGGTGGTTCACAAGAATTATCAGAAACGATCCAAACGAAAACAGATTCGAGTGGGAGCGATGGCTGTAGACGAAGGGAATGTGAAAATTGAAAAGTTCGATGGTGCGGACTTTGGCTTTTGGAAGATGCAGATTGGATATTTTCTGTACCAGAAAAATCTATATCAACCTCTATCAGGAAAGCAACCAGAGGGCATGAAGAATGAAAACCGGGCTCTTCTCGACAGACAAGCCCTCGGAGTTATCCGACTGACGTTATCCCGCAATGTTGCTTTCAACATAGCAAAGGAAAAGTCCACGGGGGGTCTTATGGCGGCTCTCTCCAGTATGTATGAGAAGCCATCAGCCTCAAACAAAGTGCACTTGATGAGGCGATTATTCAATTTACGGATGACGGAAGGGGCATCGATGGCACAACACCTAAATGAACTCAACACAATCACAACCCAGTTGAGTTCAGTGGAAATTGAATTCGATGATGAAGTTCGAGCTTTAATTCTCTTATCATCTTTACCAGACAGTTGGAATGCTACTGTTACAGCAATTAGCAGCTCGTCGGGAAATAGTAAATTAAAATTCGATAATGTTTGAGATCTGGTACTGAGCGAAGAAATTCGACGGAGAGAATCGGGTGAAGCATCAACCTCCTCAGCCTTGCACACGGAGTCTAGAGGGAGAACTTCAGAAAGAAATTCAAATCATGGCAGATCGAAATCCAGACGGGGAAAATCTAGAACGGGAAAGAAAGATTTTACCTGTTATAATTGTGGCAAGAAGGGTCACTTTAAAAGAGATTGCCTAGCACTGAAGAAAAATACCGGCGTACAAGAATCTGCCAACGTGACAGAGGAGACAGGTGATGTCATGATTCTAAGCGTCAACAGTCCGATTAAATCATGGATCTTGGATTCAGGGGCATCTTTCCACTCCAACCCATGCCGAGAAATCATGGAAAATTATGTCAGTGGTTATTTTGGGAAGGTTCATCTAGCTGATGATGAAACCTTGAAGATCGTCGGAAAAGGAGACATCCGACTAAAGTTGCCAAACCAGACCACCTGGACGCTGAAAGGAGTGAAACATATTCCTAGCCTCAAAAGAAATCCGATTTCTGTAGGACAGCTTGATGAAGAAGGTTATAGTACAACTTTTTCAGGCTGTGAATAGAAGATTACCAAAAGAGCACTCGTCATTGCTCGTGGTAAGAAGACTGGTACTCTCTATGTAACCTCAAACTTAGAGAATATCATTGCTGCAGCAGATGCTGATGGAAAATCAAACCTATGGCACCAAAGGCTTGGTCATATGAGCGAGAAAGGGATGAAGACACTTTTGTCAAAAGGGAAGCTGCCGGATCTAAAGAATGTAGATGTCAGACTATGCGAGGATTGCATCTTTGGCAAACAAAAGAAAGTCAGCTTTGCAAAGATTGGTAAGACACCCAAGGCTGAAAAGTTAGAGTTGGTTCATACTGATGTATGAGGACCATCTCCAGTTCCATCTCTTCCAGGCTCATTATATTATGTCACCTTCATCGATGATTCTACAAGGAAGGTGTGGGTTTATTTTCTGAAGAAGAAATCAGAAGTCTTTGATACCTTCAGAAAATGGAAGGCCATGGTGGAAAATGAGACTGGTTTGAAAGTTAAGCGGTTAAGGTCTGATAATGGAGGAGAGTACAAAAATAGAAGATTCAGAGATTTATGCACAAATAATGGGATTAAGATGGAGACAACAGTTCCCATGACACTGCAGCAGAATGGCGTAGCAGAGCGCATGAACAGAACTCTGAATGAACGTGCCAGAAGCATGAGGATACATGCCGGATTGCCCAAATTTCTATGGGCTGAAGCTATCAACACTGCAGCTTACCTGATCAACCGTGAGCCCTCAGTTCCTTTGAATGGCAAAATACCAAAGGAAGTTTTGAGCAAGAAAGAAATAAACCTTTCACACTTAAGAGTGTTTGGTTGTATTTCTTATGTACATATAGATTCTGCTGAAAGAAGTAAACTTGATGCCAAGTCCAACAAATATGTCTTTGTTGGTTATGGTAGTGATGAGTTCGTTTACCGATTTTGGGACTATGAAAATCGGAAGATCATCAGAAACAGAGATGTCATTTTCAATGAGAATGTGATGTACAAATACAGGTCAACCATAGAATCAAGTAGCTCCAACACCGAAGCTGAAATAAAGGAATTTTTTGAGTTTGAAGAGATTTCTGGAAATGATGTTCAGATCGCTCCTGAAGCAGTTCAAGAAGAGCCAGTCACACCAGAACTGAGACGCTCCTCCAGAATTCCTAAACCAACCCAACGGTATTCTCCTTCTTTGCACTACTTGTTGTTGACTGACAATGGTGAACCAGAGTACTATGATGAAGCAATGCAAGTGGAGGATTTAGTCAAGTGGGAGTCTACCATGAAAGATGAGATGGACTCACTTATGTCAAATCAGACATGGGAATTAGCTGAATTACCATCAGGAAAGAAAGCACTCCATAACAAGTGGATTTACAGGATCAAAGAAGAGCATGATGGGAGCAAACGCTACAAAGCAAGATTGGTTGTCAAAGGCTTTCAGCAAAAAGAAGGTATTGACTACAATGAAAATTTCTCTCCAGTCGTGAAGCTATCTACAAATAGACTGGTGTTAAAAATTGTAGCTGCAGAGAATTTACATCTTGAGCAGTTAGATGTGAAGACAGATTTCCTTCATGGTGATTTGGAGGAAGAAATCTATATGAGGCAGCCAGAAGGCTTCATAGAGGCAGGCAAGAAAAACCTGGTATGCAGGTTGAAGAAGAGCTTGTATGGTTTAAAACAAGCTTCTAGGCAGTGGTACAAGAAGTTCGATAGCTTCATAGGTAGCAATGGTTTTACCAGATGCCAAGCAGATCATTGTTGCTACATCAAGAGGTTCGACAATAACTTCATTATTTTATTATTGTACGTTGATGACATGCTCGTTGTAGGCTCAGACATGCAAGAGATTATAAACTTGAAGCAAAAATTGTCAAAGCAGTTTGCTATGAAGGATCTGGGCGCTACAAAACAGATTCTTGGGATGAGGATCAAGAGATACACAAATTTGGGGACTTTGATATTATCACAGGCTGAGTACATCAACAAAGTACTCTCCAGGTTCAACATGCAAGATGCTAAACCAGTAAGTACACCTTTAGGTGTTCATTTCAGACTCTCCAAAGAACAGTCACCAAAGACGGAGGAAGAACGTGCACACATGGTGAAGGTGCCATATGCCTCAGCAATTGGAAGTCTGATGTATGCCATGGTTTGTACCAGACCAGATATTGCTCAAGCAGTGGGAGCTGTTAGCAGGTACATGAATAATCCGGGCAAAGTACACTGGGAAGCAGTCAAATGGATCCTCAGATATCTGCGGGGTACCATAAACAAAACACGTTGTTTCAAAGGTAGAGATACGATACTGACAGGCTATGTAGATGCTGACTTAGCCGGAAATGTTGACATCAGAAGGAGCACTACAGGGTATGTCTATACTCTAGAAGGAACCGGCAGTGAGTTGGGTTTCTCAACTACAGAAGATAGTTGCTCTCTCCACAACTGAAGCAGAATATATCGCTGTTACGGAAGCCAACAAGGAGATGGTTTGGCTCCAAAGTTTCTTGGAAGAGTTAGGCAAGAAACAAGAAAACAATGTCTTGTATTGCGACAGTCAAAGTGTTATACATCTAGCAAAGAATCCGTCTTTTCATTCCAGGACAAAGCACATACAATTGTGATATCATTTTATCCGGTCTCTTCTGGAAGATGGGATTTTGAAACTTGAAAAGATCAGTGGAGCTCAAAATCCGACAGACATGTTGACAAAGACGGTGACTACAGACAAACTGAAATTGTGTTCAACTTCAGTTGGCATGCTAGAGTAACAAGACTAGAAAAGCTGTTGCATTGATCGAGGTGTGAAGACAGATTAAAACCAGTCTTCAAGTGGGAGATTGTTGAAAGTATTAAAATGGTTTTCAAGTTTGGTAACCAACTTTGAAAAAATGGTTTTCAAAGTTTGGTAAATGTTTCTTTGAAAATGGTTTTCAAAGTTTGGTAAATGTTTCTTTGAAAAATAGTTTTTCAAAGTTTGGTAGATGTTTGTTGAAAAATGATAATGAGATAATCACAATTAATCCCTAGGCTTTAGGTTATTTATAAGATTAAGTCCTTAAGTTTCAACTATAAATACCCTAGCTCATTTAGCTTCAAAACCATCCCAAAATCATTTCTTTCTCCCAATACTAGAGAGCTTTCATGTGAGTAGAGAGTGTTTTGTAAACACCTGTAAATTTTCTCTCTTAGTAAAAGACCTGCAGCAGTCCAGAGAAAAAAACAAATTGGCTGAACTCCGTTATCAATTTCAGGTATTATTTTTCCGCTTTTCTTTCGCATTCTCACTAATCTGGTTATAAGAAATTACTCGTACTCGGTTTATTTCCCAACAACTGCAAGTTCACACTCTTAAGATTCACCTAATGTTTCAGGTTGGTGTGGTGCGGGTGCCGATCATTACAAACCATTGATTGCCCATGCTTCTTCGCTTGTTTCTCCGGAGATGGTCGTTCTCGTACTGGGGCAATGAGTTGAGTCCTACAGTTTTATGGCGTAGAGGTTCAGAGTAGAAGTAGTTCATTATTTTTCACCCCCAAGATTTGGCATGCAATGTAATGTAGCTCTCTCGCAATCCTTTTGTAGGAGAATTTCATCGCATTGCATAGAATTCTAATTTTTTTTTGTAAGGATTATGTAGAATCAGTTATCTTCTATCTCTTAGTTTGCAGGTCTGATTGACGCATGCTATTTGATAGTGTTTTTGTAGTGGCTCTGTTTTGCATGCCGGCTTCTGTTGTTGTGGTTGAGTTATGTACTAGTTATTAGCTGGAATAGCGTCTGCCGTTGTTGTATCCTACAGCTAGACTTTGTTAGATTTTTGTCCCCTCATCATTTATAAAATTATGTTGGATTTTTTTATAATTAAGATTACATTAATATAATGTATAGATATTGAGGATTATATTTGTTATTATATTAATCAAAGTTATATAAAATAGATGAAAACATCAAAGTTTTGTCTCCTGTAGTATACTTAATTTATCATTTTCGCATCAATTTAGCACTCAAAATTATTTAATTGCATTATTTCATATCTTTCTTCAAACTTAAAACCCTAAATTATAAATCATAAGTTTGTGTTTAGGGGTAACAGGGTTATGGTTTAGAGTTTATGGTTTATAATTTAGGGTTTTTAGTCAAGAGATGGTATAGAATGATGTAATTGAGCAACTTCGAAAATTAAATTAATGCGACAATACGATAAGGTCGAAAATGATAAATCGAGTCTATTACAGGCGCTGCCTTAAAATTACAATTAATTGTATTGAGTTGCTATTTTTGACATGATTTAGATACCATTTTCAAAATTAGCATGAACTAAACAATCTAAAGGAGGAATCAATTTGTTTAATTTTACCAATAATTTAAACAATATATGTGGTTATTATTTAATGTTCTTTTAACACAATATCTTGGTCGAAACGTCTTGGTTTTGCATGTATTTTTTATGTCGAAGCTAAACTGAACTTGTTTTAAATATAGAGTGATAAAAGTAATTAAGCTGCAAACTTTCCCTTTATATTGAGAGTTTATACCCATGTAATTTTTAAGTTCTATACATTTTAAATGCTTAAACTAAAAATAATTCATTAATTTTCATAAAATACATATATAATAGCAAACATTCGATCAATATATATGTATTAAATTAAACATTTTAATAAATAAATATATGTATTAAATTAAACATTTTAATAAATAAAGTATCATTGCATATGAGAATAGGGTTTTGTTGTTGTTGTTCGAGCAACTCCTCGATATCTTCCGGTTGATACTTGATGTATTTCCCTGCCTGTTTACTGTTATCAAAACATGACTGGAATATCCCCACAAATGACCTGTGTAGACACTAATTTTTCAGTTTACTTTTATTTTTATTATTTAATTATTATTATTATTATTATATATTATTATATATTATTAATAAATAAATTAAATATTACAAAACCTTAAACCCATTTACAAGGCCCATTTACAGTTGGCCCAGACTAGAGGAAAACCCTAAACATTTAGGGTTTTAGCTAGGGTTTCTAAACCCTAGCATTGCCGCCGCCGCCTCCAAGAACTCCCAGCAGTCGCCTTTGCCGACATCTCCCAAGCCAGATGGTCCAACCAGCTGCTGCCGACGCTACCACTGCCACGACGCCCGTCGAAGCTCCTAGAAGAGTCAGTCCAACCGTCCACGCGTCCCGTTCTTCGGTGAGTCACCACAGGTTCGTTGACTCACCAGAACTCATCTCTGGGACCGGTCCAACGAGAGCCTCGGTGGTGGCTATAAAAGCCACCCCACCTGCAAGAAAAAAACAAGAAACCAAGAACCAGGGGAGGAACGGACAGAGCATAGAACACGAGCAGCAAACACACACAAGAGAAACGAGCAAACCACAGCAACACCGACGACATAGAGCAACGAAAAACAACCGAGAGAAGAGTGAAGAGACTTACCAAGCGTTATCGGAAGCCAAACGTCGTCCAACCGTCGTTTAATCAAAGGTAGAATCCTTCGGTTTTGTTTAGATTTATGGCTATTGAAAGGGTTTTAAGAGGAAAATATGCTAGATTTAGGCTTAAGGGGAAATAAGGCTTCAATTTAGGCTATTTTCCAAGTTCCGGCCACCGTGAACGGTGGCCGACGGTGGCTATTAACGGTAGTTGTTGGCGACCGACTCTCTCTGTTGAGAGAGTTTAGAGAGAAGGCGAGAGGGAGAAATGAAAAATGGAAATTATGGCCCTTTAGGGGGGCCGGTTAGAGGGGTTTTATACCCTCATCTGTATTTTGTAATTTTACATTTTAGTCACTGGAATTACATTTATGAGCATATTAATATTGTCTTCTAATTTTACCTTATTATGTTTTGGTCATTAATCGGTAAAAATATATATTAAATAACAGATTTAACCCCCATAACTTTGATAAATTTCATTTTAATCATTGTTTAAATAATTAAGGGTTAATTAAACTATTAGTAATTATATTTTTATAATACTTCTAATAAGGCCCATTAATTTATATATTTTATATTTTAATCCCTAACAATTTGATATTTTTCATTTAATATATTTTGTATTTTAATATTATTGCCTTTAAATTTTGATCATTATTATTTTATTTTGTTATTTTTATATATGTTTAAATTATTATTATTATTTTATTATTATCTTAAGTAGTATAAATATATATATAATATTTATTTATTTATTGTATTTGTTTTCTATGAAAATCCTATTTATAAATTTAATATATTAGTTTTAAATCATTTTAATCATATTTTAATATATATTTATCAATATTAAGAAATGATAGTCTTAAAACAACTGGATGTTCATTTTCTGATATTTTTAAAAATAAATATTTTAATATATAAATCTATTTTTATGTTCTATTAAAATTTATTTATTTTTTAATATTAAGAAAGGAGCTGTCTTAAAGCACCTAGAAGCCCTTTTTTGATATTTCTAAAAAAATAAATATATTGTTTAATAAAATATATATATTAATATATTATTTTAAACTTATATTAATAAACTTTAACAGAATTATGAATTAAATATATTTTTGAACTTTTAAATTTCCAATAATAGAGACAATTTATAATTAATAAGTACAAATTTTGGGCGTTGTAGGGGTGCTAATCATTCTCTAAACGTAACCGACCACGAATCTCTTTTTATTTCTAAAAAGAATGAATTTTTGGTTAAACGCATATCAATTTATCTTTTAACTGATGTTTTCTTAAAAACTCTTTTAAAAGATAATTTTTAGGTATTCGACCTACCTGACCTTAAAGGCCGATGGCAACTCTCAAAACATTTTTTTAAAATCATTTTTTTATCCACATTATTCCCACCAAGTAAAATTTCGTGCCCGGGTGAAATCCGGTTACGACAACCTGTATGCCGTGATCATCACCGATGATATCGACACTCTAAGCACCGATTTGAGCTCTCCGTAGCTTACCACCCAAGTGCTATGTGTCCTGAGGATTTCGTCGAACAAGATAAAGTTCTTGAACCTTTCTTTTAGTTTAGTCTTTGACACTTTCCCATTAACTTGTACACCCTCATGGCTTATGGTCTGCAACACATTGCCCCATGTTTCTTTTTGGTACATTTTATGGTACCGCCTTAACTCCGAGGTTCGTTTCCGAGACCAAGCATGACCGATCAATTCGTGCACTTCGGTCGACTCCTTGATCTTATGCAAGATGTATCTCCCGTTGTTCATTAAGAAAATGTAACGCAATGACGGGCTCTTATAGAGCGTGGATTTCATCTCGATGTTGGCTTCTAACAAATCCATGGACTTCATTAGCTTTAATGCAAAAGGGGATGCCGGAAGGCACCTATCATCCTTTTGAATGTCGTTCTCCGGAACTTTCTCCACGGTCGATCCCTCTTCACGCTTTCGAAATACTCCCTCTAATGTGTTCTTATACAAGCATACTTTAGATAATTCATTGTATAGCGTGTCCAGGGGTGAACTGCACCGCCGGGGACCAGGATTCTGCCTGCATTGTCATTCTTGATTGAATTTTCAAGCTGAGAGAAAATGCTCACCGCGGTTTCACCGATCTTACATTGAACCAGAGATGTCTCCGACACGAGTTCCTTGGCTGATAAGTAATTGCCAATATCCAGTTTTCTCAATTCACTCAATGCCTCGTATATATCTAAGAACTTGAATAATTTCTCCATGGAGTATTGTCTAGGCCACACCAGTGCATTTGGAAAATTAAGAAACCTTGTGGTCAAGGATGTCACGAGTTCGCCGAACAATCTCCGACCGATCAAAGGATGCTTGGAAAACACCGAATCACAGAGCTTTCGTTCAGCCGAAACGAGATTGTCGGTGCGATGTTTGATAACATTAATCCAATTACCGATCTCGACTTCGAGCGATTCCCAACTCATCCTTTCAGCATCGCCGGCATTGATAGTCTCAAACGATAACTCGGCATCCAAAGCTTTTAGCCTAAGACCGGTATAAGTAATGCAGCACTCTGCCTTGTATCCTGCAAAGATCATTGTGCTAGCGATTTTGTTCATGATAGCTATCGATTCAACCGGAAGATACGAAAACTATTTATGAAGTAGAACTACATGGATCACACTCAAATATACAGACCACCACATGTTGTGGCACAAATTTAGGACTAGAGGGGCCATGGCCCCCACCCCACCCAATATATATATATATATATATATAATAAATTATTAAATTTGATCTCTCAAAAAATATTTATTAATAAATTATTAAATTTAATTATATATATATATATATATATATATATATATTAAATTTAAAAATCACTTAAATATTATTTATTTAGAATAGTTAGCATTCATTTCTTTTGTTATTTTTTATTTATAAACGAATGAAAATTTATTTTCATTTGGTATTTTTTATTTCAAGGAACAAAAAAGTTTCGTATTTTTCATGTTTGGTTGTTCATCTTCTTTGATTTATCTACTGAGTTATTTATCTTCTTTAAGTTGAGATTTCAATCAAGTTATTAGTTATTTCATTTTAGTTGAAAGAATTTTTTCAAATATTTTTCGATTCAATTTAAATTTATAGTTTTATTTCAAATATCTATATTTGTTATGCATGTTTATTAATTTTCATCTCTAAACATAAAAAACTTAGACAATATATATGTGAAAATATTTTTAAAATGTCTCTAAATATCTTGATTATATAAATATGTTATTAAAAAATATTGATTAAATTTTTATTTTATGTGAGTTTATTATAAAATTATACTGATATATTATAAAAAAGGACCGAATAAATTCTTTAAATTTTTACGTAAAGATATAAATTTTAAGGATTTATACAATTTTCTTTTACTAGTATGATGTTTTGATATATAAATCTATAATTTTTATCGATAAAAACACTAAAATATTTAAGTTAATATATACATTTTTTATAAAAATAACCCCTCATAAGATAATGTTGAGTTTCGTATAAAGATTGGGTGGGTATGAAAGTCGATTCACCAACAAAAACATCTTAGATCATGTATAATAATTTTTACACTCAAAAGATGATTTGAAACTCAAAATATTTAGGCTGATCATCGTTCTGTCACCTCAAATAACACTACGTGATCGATTTGTTATAAATCAATAACGTGTGATTAAATAGTTAGTTTTGAAACATGAGTGGAAAGAAAATAAACTTGATGAAACATACATGATCATTTATGTAGTTTAACTTTAAAAGAAGTAAGACCCAATCAACAAACAGGACTAAAAAAAACTTCAGCAATAAATTGAATGAGAAATGTGTCCAATGGGATCGAAATGTGCTGAGGTTTCCATCAATTCCTCACTTTCCCGTGTGTTCTGCCAGTTGACGCATAAATATCTGATCTTTCTTTCAATTTCAGCACCACCACGAACGTGGATTTCGGTGAGGGAAATAACTGCGAAGTTAAATAGAGAAAGAATGTTAAAGAAGATGAGGGAATCTAAAGAGAGAAAGGGGAAGATTTTGTTGTCATTTTTAATATAAATGAAACAAATCTAGGGTCAAAATGAGAAACAGCGTAAGAGCTGTAAGTTATATGTGAAGTGTGCACGAAGCCGTACACTAAAGCCGGCTTCTTTTTTCTCCTCTTCTTCAACCTCTCTGTGTTGCTTCAAATTTCTCCATTGTTCGCACTCTTAAAAGTTTCTCTTTGTTCTCTTTTTTTCGCTTTCACTTGGGATTCGTTTTATCTTTTAGGTTTGATTATTTGATCAGGTAAAACAAGCGAGGGGAGATTGCCCATATTTTCAGATTAGAAAATTGTAAGAAAACAGGATCGGATATGGCACGTTGATCAATTTTTCCCTGTTTTTGATTGTAAATCTGATATATATCTCAAAAAGCTTCGGATTATTTCTGGGCTTCGTTTGATTTTCGAGGGAATGGGCTGTTTTCCTTGTTTCGATTCTAAGGAAGAAGAGAAGCTAAACCCTGTCAATGAAACTGTTGAGAGAAAACAAGGCCACCCAACTGTTTCCTCTAATATTTCCAAATTATCTTCAGGTTAGCGATAAACGTTTTTTCTTTTGTTTTGGAATATATACATATACATATATATGAATTGCCCGTCCAGTAGTAGTGGGATTGAGTTCACGGCGGACAATTCATAATTTTGACGTAATTTTGACGTGACAAAACTGAATTTTACTCATTACATATGCGAATAATGGAAACTAATTTTTATTTTATATATATATATATATATATATATATATATTACTTAATCACTTGATCTGATCTGTGTCTTTCTGAATTATTAGTTTCTTTCCCAACTTTGATGATGATGATGATTATTTTACTGTTAACTTTGATGATGATGGTCCTTACTTTGTTATGTAATATTCTCAGTGTACTATTATTCCTTGTTTGATTTACCTTCATAAAACTTTTAGAGATATAAATTTTGGGTTTTTCTTGTGGTATTCCCCACCCGAAGTAGGATCTTAAGATGATTTTGATTGCATGGTGATATGTTCGATAGTGGATTAGGTTGAAAATTTGTAATTAGTTCAAAATCCACTGATAGATGTCTTGTAATTTATAGTAATTCAATAACTTAAACTCAAATTAGCATACTGAATATGATAAGCAAAGTCCATCATCCGGAAATCTTAGCTTGATGGGAGCTTATTATTGCCTTGACAATTAAACTTTTTTTCGTTCTTGAATCACCGAGCTTTTTGAATTTGGATTGTATTCCCTTTCCTTTTTAGGTTCTTTTGTTTGCATTAAAATGGTAATCAGATTTCTCATGGTATCAATTTTTGTGGAGCTGACAGGAGGGGACAGGCTTAGAGCAAGAAGTAATGGAGGGTCCAAAAGGGAAGTACAAAGTCCCAAAGATGGGCCTGGTGTCCAAATTGCTGCTCAGGTTTTTACCTTTCGCGAGCTTGCAGCTGCAACAAAGAATTTCAGGCCAGAATCTTTTTTAGGAAGGTGGATTTGGAAGTGTTTATAAAGGGCGGCTCGAGAGTACTGGTCAGGTAATCTTATTATAGATGTTTTATCACTTCTAGGACTTTGCTCGATTTGCTCATACATTGTCATGTTCTTGAAATTCGACCATTCTGGTTATACAGATGTTTAATACTGCAGACTGAGTGTTTGGATAGAAAATACTCTGTTTTTTTCCTAGATTCTAACATTTATTTGCATAGCAAGTGATGCATTAAAATTGGTAATTGCGCGATTAATATATTTCGTATAGTACCAATAACTTTATTAGGATTTCAAGTCCTCTAAATTTCTTAATATGTATTCTGGTCTTGCTCCTAGTGAAACAGCTATATACAGTTGAATCTTAAGAGTAAATCTATTGAAAAGTTCAATTATTGAACTTGGATGCAGCTCCTTTATCTGATAAGTTTCAATCTTTTGTCCATTGAAGATGATCTAATTAATGTTCGATTATATCTGTATCTTTTGCTGTGATTCTTGCTACTTGACGTACCTGATACTCTGCTAAAAGGGAGCAGCATCCATCCTCATGGAGTTTGTCTTGCTGATAAAGCGTGGTTTTCCCATCTATATCCTCCGCTTGATGTTGTCATGATGTAGCTGAGGTCTGAGATGAGTCTGAAAGTTCTACCGTTGCATGCAACATGAATTTTAATTGTTAATCATTTTTTGGGAACTAGAGAATAAACTAATGCCGAATATATCTAACGCTGCAATTTGGACAATGAAGTTTATGCTTCTTTGAAAAAAAATATTCCTTTTCGAGAAGATGGTTATGCATTTCTATAAGATGTGCGAAAGAGGACCTCTACATTTTCTTCTGAATTTACACAAACTAAAGGTTCTCGTAATTGGGATAACAAGATCAATCTTGTATAGCGTGAGGAGCTCATGTCATCATGTCTCTTATCTATGTAATTTTTACCTGTGCAGGTAGTTGCAGTCAAACAGTTGGATAGAAACGGTCTCCAGGGTAACAGGGAATTTCTGGTTGAGGTTCTCATGCTCAGCCTTCTTCATCATCCCAATCTTGTTAACCTGATTGGTTATTGTGCTGATGGAGATCAACGGCTTCTTGTTTATGAATTCATGCCCTTGGGATCATTGGAAGATCACCTTCACGGTAATGTTTGGTGCACATTAGTGCTCCAACGATATAGTTCTTTCTCGTATTACTTCATTATATCTAGAGCAACTAGTCCTTCTGCATATGGATCTTTGTAAAGTTATATTCAAGTCGACAATGTTATCATTTTGAGCTCAATGTAGGAATGCCAATGTTAGGTTAAGGATCTTATTCATTTTTTCATATACAAATATTCTCTGAGCTCCTCATAATTTTAATGGACTCATTACTATTGTGAAGTGATAATTAGTATTAATCTAGAAAGCATGGATACTGACTCACAATACGGGTACAATATGGCATAGGCACGAAGACACTGGAATGTTTAGAAAATTAGGACATTGACAAGACACACAATATATATATATATATATTATATAATAGTATAAAATATAATTGGATACTTCTCAATCAAATGTCAACATGCAAATGCTATTAATTTTCCAATTTCTCAAAATCAAATTTGAGTTTAAAAACTTGAACCTTAATAAATTCATTAGGATCAAATAGCTCGAACTCAAAGTCTTAAAAATACCTTAAATTATCATGCTATGAATTGTTAACTCCTCTCATACTTGTCTCATTGTTTGGTCATCTTTACCTTCTTTCTTTAGCATTCTCTCTCCTGTAACATATTTACAATGATACTTTATGTTCTACTCCCAACCTTTCTGGTATTTAACTCTCCATTATTGTCTCTTTCAGTTTTCTTCATTTTCTTTATAGATTTCGAGCATTTGAGTTCCTTAGGATTTAACATTTTGTTCATGGTTGACTCCCTATTTAAGGGGGGGGGGGGGGAAATGCAAATTGCACGTCTTGTCATTTTGGGGCATGTTCAGGTGTGTCCAGTCGTGCTTTGTCACATCGGAGCGTGTACTTGTGAAAACAAAGATTATGGATGGTGCATCTTTAACTGGACATGATGCTGAATGACTTGTTAACCTAGTTTAAATAAGTTGTAATTCCACCTTATTTGTTTATTTTTTTAATAGGTTCCGAAGACTAGAGGTTTATCTAGTCCTACATTTTCCAAGAGTTCCAACTTCTTATCTTCTTTTTAGCCTTATTTTCATTGATTTGCTACTATTTCTCCTTAAACAACACTAAACATGCTTAAAACCCTTGTCATATCATGTCATATATATTGTCCCAACAGCCTTACACATATTAATTCAATATTTTAGGCCTGCTTTGCATTATTCGCTCTTTCATTTCGTGTCAATCTTTCTTATTGTCTGATATCAAGATACTCTTGTAATGTCTTCTAGTATTTGGTCGAGTTTGGCATTGTGATTGATATGCAAAATCATGGTTTGCACTGCACAAGTTCAACATTTCTTTCTAAACTAAGTCTTGACTAAACTGGTGGATTTCCATTGTGGTTTTCTAAACCCTATTATCACATCGGAATCGTACCGGTTATAATATTGAACTAAGCCTAATTATGAACCCGGAGCTTAGCTGAGTTGGCATCCAAAAGTCTTAAGGATTTGAGTCCCAGCATCTGTAATTCCTTCTCCTATTTGTAGGTTATGGCCTCCCTTTCAGCAAAAACATTTTAGTCTAATTAATGTCGGAACTGATACTGAACTATGAATCACATCGTTCTCATAATTGATCTGTTTTGCGGTTCACTAGCAAGCCGTCTTATGCTTTTAGTAGTCGGGAGGCTTCAGAATGTTCGACTTTAGCCCTTTACTACCAATAACATACAGATAATAGTCACATCTCATTGCTGGATAAATTCAGGGTTTTAGTTAACACAAATGGATATGCACAGGTTTTACCGTGTCATGCCCTCGGCCATATTTTGCTTGTGTTCTACCGGTGTCAGTTAAATACATCTATAATGTAGCAGGAAGCGGAATTCTAGATTATAGTCTAATCTGTCATCAGTTTCTCTACAGATCTACCACCTGAGAAGGAACCGCTAGATTGGAACACAAGAATGAAGATAGCAGCTGGTGCGGCTAAAGGTTTGGAATACCTCCATGATAAAGCAAATCCTCCTGTTATTTACAGGGACTTCAAGTCCTCCAACATATTACTGGAGGAAGGATTCCAGCCGAAGTTATCTGATTTCGGGCTTGCGAAGCTTGGTCCGACAGGAGATAAATCACATGTTTCCACGCGAGTTATGGGCACATATGGCTATTGTGCTCCCGAGTATGCCATGACGGGTCAATTGACAGTAAAATCTGATGTTTATAGTTTCGGCGTTGTCTTCTTAGAGCTAATTACTGGACGGAAAGCTATTGATAGCGCACGGCCCCATGGAGAACAAAACATTGTTACATGGGTAATGCATTTGAAGTGCTTTTGTAGTTTGGGTTGGCCTGTGTAGCAAGCCATGGCTGAGACTATATAATAGTATATATTTTTTTAATGAATGTGCAGGCACGTCCATTGTTCAACGACCGTCGCAAATTTTCAAAATTCGCAGATCCAAGATTGCAAGGACGGTATCCAATGCGAGGTCTTTACCAAGCTCTAGCTGTGGCCTCTATGTGCATTCAGGAGGAGGCTGCCACACGTCCTCTAATTGGGGATGTGGTCATCGCTCTCTCGTATTTGGCAAACCAGGCATATGATCCTAATGCAGCAGGCCACGGCTACCGAGGTTCTGGAGATAAGGATGATAAAAGACACAGAGATGACAGAGGAGGAAGGGTGTCAAAGAGCGATGAAGGAGAACCATCTGGTCGTAGGTGGGATTTGGAAATGTCCGAGAAGGACTCCCCCAGAGAAACTGCCAGGATGTTGAATAGGGATTTGGAACGGGAAAGAGCTGTGGCCGAGGCCAAGATGTGGGGAGAGAATTTGAGAGAAAAAAGGCGACAAAATGGTCATGGTAGTTTCGATGGGACTAATGGCTAGTATACCGTTCCCAAGTAAACTTTGCAGTCTCCTTTGGCGCCACCGTTTATCCACCTTTCCGACTCGACGAGGTGAAGAAACATTTCTTTCTTGTGCATAGTTCATCCAAAAAGCTTGACAATGCTTTACTTTCCTTTCCTTTCAATGAAGCATAGAAAAAGATGATGATGGAAAGGACAATGGACAAATGGAGTGTACATTATCATGAACAAGGAGAGCATGAGAATGAATTAGAAAAGCAAGACCTTTTTTTCACAAAATTTTGAGAGTTAATGTAGTTATACATATAACATTTTGTTGTGGTTTAAAAGTATATAAGAAATTTTAATTGGTTTAATTTTACACAATAAAAAAATATATCAAATTATTTTATATTGGATAAATATAAATATTTGTATGTGCTATAAATATAGAATTATACAAAACAATTTATATATCAAAATATACATCAGATCAAAATTTATATATAATTTATTTGGAAACCTTTTGAAGTATGGTTTTTTAATAGTACGAGGGGTTATGAGATAATATATGTTTAGAATATTTCTTAATTTTGATAGTGTACAGATCCAACAGATGTAGTTTCTCGAATTAGAGTATTTTAAAAAGAAAAACACTTCCTTTTACCATTGAGATCACCTTAATTCAAATATCATGAGTTAATTGCATAATATGTCTATAAACTATAACCCTTCTTTTAAATTGGTCCTTAAACTTTTGAATATTCTAATTTTATCCCAAACTATGGGTATCATTCTAAATTAGTCCTTGAACTGTTGAACATTCTAATTTCATCCTTAAACTATCACCATATTTCTACATTAGTCCCCAAACTTTTGAATATTCCAATTTTATCCCCAAATTCATCCAAATATGTAATTAGTTTCAACCATAATTTAACCTAAATTTTGTTTTTTTTCAAAGTGTATAGTTTGGGATGAAATTGGAATGTTCAAAAAGTTCAGGGCCAATTTAGAATGAAGGTCATAGTTTGGTGATGAAATTAAAATATTCAAAAGTTTTAGGACTAATTTAGAATGATAGTAATAATTTAGAGAAAAAAATTAAAATATTTAAAAAGTTAAGGACCGATTTAAAATAAGTGTCATACTTTGAGGACATTTGATGCAATTAACTCATACGATATTGATAATGTTGGATAGGGGTGAGCTCGATCGAATCGAGTCGAGTCAAAAAAATTTGAGTTATTCGAGTTGGTAAATCCTATTTTATAACTCGGAGTTGAGTCAAGTCGAGCTTATAAAATTCAAGTCAAGTTAAATTTTCGAGTTTCTATTTAAATTTAATTATAAATATTTACAATATTATGATATTATTTGATTCTAATTTAAATTGTATTTTATAACCATATGTAATGCATATATATATTTTTAATATTGTATTTATATGTGATTTACATATATCATACAAAATCAAGGGGTTCGATTCAAACTTCAACTTAAACTTGAAAATCAATCTACTAATTATTAAAAATTTCGAATTATTCGAGTTGTATTTTACAACTCAGTTTGAATTTGAATTTTTTTTCTAAATTGAGTTTATGAAATTACAACTCGAAATCAATTCGAATCGATTTTTTTCAAGTCGAATTAAAAAAGTTAATTTTTCGAATTAGATCAAATTTTACTCATCGCTGGTTGGACAGTGTTTTAACTAATGGTGTGTATTTATCTTACGTTAAGCAAATATGTTATTGATTAGTTTGAATGTGAGATGGGAAATGCACTTTCTCTTTTGGAACACGTGAAATAGAGAAATGGAGGAGCAGCTAAAATATCTGCCATAGCCAACTGGAAGAAGAAGAAGAAGAAATATGTTTCCTAATGAAACAAACATGGTTCCTTTCTCCTATTAATGAATGAAAAGATTCCAACCACACAGCTCGCAACTCGCTAGCTTTGCCTTGTCAGAGCTGGAAACCAATTTAATACGATCCCGATCAGTGTGAACGCCCCGCCCCCCTTCTCGTAGTTCCAATTCATTCATCTTTCCTCATCAACACGGTACTTTACAAATGGGAAATAAATGCCCAGAACAATTCATGGTTTGTATTTTTAAACAATAACTACAAATATCATTTCAACATGGAAACTGAAAAATACAACACGTCTCTATTATATATCTATATGTAGTCATCTTCTTCAAAATAAAGGGTACAGCGTCTGATGATCAGTTTGTGTTTATTTCAAACTGGACATTCATTCGAATCTGCAGCCACTGGTTGCTTATCAGCATGTTGAATGTCTAAAGCTACGGGATGAACTTCGGAGGCGCTTAATGTGCCGAGTACGACGATGTTTTTCGTTTGTTCTGGAAGCTTCTTCTCGTCCATGGCAGTTGCCCTTTCGCTGTGTCTGTAGACTGCGTATAGGATCATCTGGAGCATTCCCAGTATGAAGCCTAGTACGTTAGGGAGCTGTCGATTTTCACAAGGGAAAACAATAAAGTTAGTGGCCTCAAGTGAAGGATGTTGTGTCCCTTGTCAGTGTCCTACATGGAGAAGGAAATTGGCTTACAGCTACGCAGAGGTCCTTAATGAAGAGCCCGCAGGAGAACCACATGACTGCACTCAGTGTGAGGAAGAATGATAAGTTGAAAGGCATGAACTCAACACTCTTTGTTCGAACAACTCTTGCCTGAAACAACAAAAGAAAAAATAAAATCATATTAAATTAATTAATTAATCTGCAATTAAGAAAAAAATGAAAATGGATACTCACCATGATATTCAAGGGTGCTGCGAAGACTGACACAGAGATGGAAACACAAATCCAGCCAATAACCGGGACACGAATCGAACTCTTGAGCATAAAGTGTGTGAGGATGAGAATGAAAGAGAAGATCACCACGTTCATTGCCACAAAAAGTTTCATGGCAGACTTCTGCAAAATTTCATACGTACACTCATCATATACATAGGAACCGACGTATGATTTTACGTTAAGATTGCAAACTTAGGAAATTATATACCTATAATATTTACTCACCCTGCTATCCTTCGAAGCATAAGCCAAGTACATAGATATGTAAACAGTCTCGACAACGCATCCGAATGAGTTGATGGTGATGAGGAGGAAAGCACCCTTTTTAACCAACGCGTAGTACAGCCACAGCATGCAACTGAACAATGCCACCTGGTACGGCAGCGACTGGAAACTTTCCGTTGATTTCTTCTTGAAAATCCGGTAGAATGTTGCATGCAGAATGATTGATTTTTCGTTTTTGTTAGAAAAAAACTACGTATTACTAATCATTAAATTAATGCATTTATTAGGTATAAATTGGAGCCAATTCTGACAAACATTTTGTTTAAGCCGAAAATAGTTAAACAAAAAGAAAATAACATGTTATGCATTATTCTCTTTTGCAACTCAACCAAAATTGTATCTTAATAATGTAAAATTTTTATGTATAGGATAAACACAAATAAAATTTTAGAGTGGACATAACTAATAAAATAAACAACTAACTAAAACAAATTCAATTTTTTCGGTTGTCACGTTCCTGGTCTAAAAGCTAGGTGCATCTACCATTGGAGAAAGACGAAATTAATGAAAAAGAGAGAACTAAATGAGAAGAAAACAAGGAAAAATTTAAGATGGTATATGCGGTTGTGGTGTCGTGAGTGATTTTCTTAAGAGTACTACATTTACATTACTTGGGGTACAAGGAAAATGACTAAAATGGAAAATTCTAAAATTAATGAGTGTGAAAGTCAAATACGACTCAAGTATTCAGGAGAATTTCATGAAAAATGAAGAATCCGATCTAGTCCAATAGATCTCAAGTAAAAACGAGTTGGAACGGAGAAGAAAAAAGATAACAAGAGCATATCAGCATTACCTAAGACACCAAAAACGACAGCCAAGGTATGGTGGTCACCCGTTAAGGCCATATCTCCCTTATTTAACAAAAGAAAACTGCAGAGAGGGAAGGGGAATGTACCCTATAGCTCTCTTTTGTGGCACACTCTCTTATGGAATGCCGAATGGAGAAGGGGGGGGGGGTTATAAGAGAGAAAAGTGGGGAAGGTGGTGGTAAATGGTGATGTGAGCACATAATTGTGTGCGCGCATTTAACTCCTTTTTATTGCATCACAAATTGCCAAGTGCAGACGTCAGTAGTAGGTAGGTTCGGTCGCATAAAATTAACCTCATTTTTTGTTTACATTTTAGTAACGTGTACACCTTTCCGACCTAATTGGCATCCACATTTTTTTACTCTAACCATTTATATTTTTTTATAAATAGTCTAAGATGATTATAAGATAATATATGTTTATATTTTTTCTTAGTCATTGATAATATACGTATATCCTGTGGACGCCCATGACTTCTAGAGAACAACACTCCTCTTAAATAGGAACGGAATCAAGATTCCAGTTCAAAGGGACAAAATATAATTAACAATAAAAAATGAGAGACAAAATATAATTAATAATAAAAATGGAAAGAACTAAGTCAAAAATAAATTAAAACTTGATGGTCTACTTAAATATTTATACTTATATATTTTTTAATAATAAAAAATTTGAGGGGACATAGCTCCGTCCCTACTCTTAGCCACAAAAATCACTTAATGGGTTCACAACTAATATTCTTTAAATGTTCTTGTTAAGCTTCAAATTCTATGAAATATCTAGATTTTCATGTAGGGTAAATAGTATTTTCACTTATTCATATAAAGTGTAGGAGGTTTGGAAGCGAGTAGCACAAATGAGTTTTTATTTTAGATGTACGAAGTTTAAAAGACACTGTTAATTAATTTTGATTGAGAAAATAACCTCAGTGACAAAAAATCCCATATAATATACGATTTTAACCAACTTTTTCCGGATTTGCCAAAATGACCAACAAAATCGCAATGCGATCGCTAATTCGCAACGCGATCTCCATTATCGCAAATTCGCGTTGCATTTTCGCAATGCGATAGTTGAAAATCGCGTTGCGATGGTCTACAGTATCGTTGCGATTTTCCCAATTCGCAATGCGAATAAGTAAATCGCAACGCAAATTGGGAAAATCGCAATGCGAATAAGTAAATCGCAACGCGAATTGGGAAAATCGCAATGCGATACTGACTATCGCAATGCGATAATAAAAAATCGCAACGAGATACTTACTTTCGCAACGCGATACTGACTTTCGCAACGCGATAATACATAATCGCAATGCGATTTTCAAAGCGCCATTAGTATCCTGGCCAAGTATTTTATTTTTAAATTCCAAACACGAATATTAATATATTGGAACACTGAACTGTCCACAGTATATCCCGTAATCGCAACTCATAACCTAAAACCTAAAATCACAACTCAGTCCCATCTCCATCTCTCACTCTCTCACCCATCTCCGACGAAATCCGTCCCCATCTCCGACGAAATCCGTCTATCTCCATCTCTCAGAGCCACCCTCACAATCAGAAATGGAAAATCAACCAAATCAACCAACGAGGGTTAGTTTTTTTAATTATTTTCTTTTTGAAATTTTTGCATTATTATTAGGTTTTTCATATTGAAATTGATGATAAGTTTACTGGTAATTTCAATAATAGATTAACCATTTCACTTAGATTGCTTATTAAATCAACCGAGAATCGCAACGCGAAATGCAAATCGAAACGCGATTTTAGTTTCGTGTTGCGATAGTCGAATTCGCGTTGCGATTTTCATTTTCGTGTTGCGATTTTCATTTTCAGAAACTATTCTTCTTCTGCAAATTGAAACTTGAATGAATTGCATTACTTCAACCAAAAAACAAAGACAAATACGAAATTCACAGTGTTGCATATTTAAGTTTGAAGAATAAACTACTACTATTTATGTTTATTATTGTTTTTGGTATATCTTCACAGTGTAGTTTTTGGTATATCTAATTTAGTATGTTTATTGTTTTTGTAGAACTTTTATTCGGCTCAATTGACCTTGAGAAATAAAGTCAGCCTGGCCAAAACAATTGCGTCGAAGCTTTCACCTGCACAAAGAAAAATATTTGAGGATACATGCTTCGGGCCATGGCTGAAAGTACAACATCCCGGTGGAGATGCGATGTTGACACACCTGTTTCTTCAAACCATGACTAGCGATCTACCAGAGACTACACAACGTCGTGATGAAGAGATATGGTTTGATTTTCCACCGGCGTATACGTGTTTTGGGCGGGAGGAGTTTTGCTTAATCACCGGTCTACGCTTCGGACACGATGATGTAGGTCGGTACACTAGACACATTACCCGCCCATCATGGCTATCCCGGGTTTTTCCTGAGCTGGAGAGGCCGAGTCTACACATAGAAGACCTGACAAGATTTTTGAATAATAAAGATGGTTTTACTCGGATGGATGACGTCGACGTTGTCCGAGTATGCCTTCTAATTCTTTTGCATGCCGGCTTTTTAGGCAGAGAGGCCAGACAACCTATTCCAAATGATCTAATCAAATTGGTAGAAGACCTAAATGCGTGGAACCTGTTTCCGTGGGGCTCGTATTTATGGAAAGCTACATGGAATAAGTTATCGTTTGCCTTGGATGATCGAAAAAGTTTGCATGTCGATGGTTCCAAATACACTTTGACAGGCTTTATTTGGGCCTTTAAGGTAAGAATTTTTATATGATGTTTCCAAAATTATAAGTAATTATTTAACAATTACTAATGTTTGTTATTATATTGTTTGTAGATTTGGATATTTGAGGCCTTTCCCGCCATGAAGACATATGCAATAAAAACTTCAAATGATATTCCCAGGGCTATTTCCTGGAAGAGGAAACGGACCTTGCAATGGGAAGATTTACTACGGTATACGACAATAAATAATGTAAGTTAACATAAATACTACCATATGTTTATAAACAAGTTATTACTAGTACACGTTTAACTTTGTTTGAGCTTTTATATTGTTAGGAGGCCAACACTCCTCTACAGAGGCTGACACCCACGGAAGCTGAGTTTGCCACTGATTGGTGGCAAGCTAGTAAGCGTTTTTTTGATGGAACGGTTGATGAACAGCCTCCACTTCGGGAGCCATCACCTCGCCCAGAGCTATCACCTCACCCAGAGCCATCATCTGATCGACCCGGCTATACACCTCCACAACGACAGCCATCACCTATTCTGTCACATCATCGAGCCTCTTCTCCACCATCACCGCAAGATAGGCGACCGGCAAAGATGCCACGACGTTTATCTCCCTGTTCTCCACCTCCACCTCAACGGGATGAGTTAGGGGAGTTACGTGATGAGGTCAATGCCTTGCGTGAGGAGGTCGGTACTTTACGCAAAGACGATGGTGCATGGCGTGTTGAGGTGTCTACATTACGCGGTGAGGTAGCCGCTCAACGTGAGATGGTAGCATCGTTGCAGAATGAGGTTCATACTCTACGCAACGAGGTAAGTTTAAGATTTTTCATACTCGTAATTCATTCGGTTGCTGCCAATACTGCTAAATTGTTTTTGTTAGTATTTGTTTTTGGTTTTGTTTTTGTCTTTTGGTTGAAGTAATGAAATCCATTCAAGTTTCAATTTGCAGAAGAAGAATAGTTTACTTTCGCAACACGAAAATGACTATCGCAACGCGGAAATGGCTATCGCAATGCGAAATGAAAATCGCAACGACAAAATCGCAACGCGAAATGAAATCGCAACGACAAAATCGCAACGCGAAATGAAAATCGCAATGCGATTTGTGTTTCACGTTGCGATTTTGTCGTTACGATTTCATTTCGCGTTGCGATTTTGTCGTTGCGATTTTCATTTCGCATTGTGATAGCCATTTCCGCGTTGCGATAGTCATTTCGCGTTGCGATTTTAAGTTTCGTGTTGCGAAAGTAAACTATTCTTCTTCTGGAATGTTTATATATGTTGTCCTTTTAAATGTTTATATAAGTGCTTACTTCTGGAATGTTATCTGAGCATTTTGTGAACTATGATAGAATAATGATTTGGGTGAATACAATGCTAGTTTGAAATATATTTGTCTTTGTTTAATATCATGTCTGTTTATTTACTGATTTATGTATTAATTTTTTTAGCGGCCCGATAAGGTGGATGCTTTACGTCGGGTTTTCCTTGCACGACGGAGTTCACGCATCAGACGGCGTGGACGTGCTATTACGTCTCCGTTCACCCCAATGGTGCGAAGACTCCGCAAGAAGAAGCCCGACTCACCGGTCATCCCTCAAGAGTCCCCTCCAATCGTTCAAGAGGCCCCTATTCTCCCTCAAGATTCCCCCCCCACCGTTCA